TGCTTATATTTGGTTAAACAATTTAGATTTAACTTTTATAAAATATTTTGTTAAGAGATAGTTTTTACTTTTTTATAAATTATTATTTTGAATTTGTAAATGCTAAAAAATATATAAAAATAAAGTTTAAATTGTATAACTTTTACGAGGATCAAACGTTTAACTAAACGTATAAGTGATATGACGTGATAAAAAAAATTGCTGTACAAATCATAATTAATCCTAAAATAGTGACTTCATTAATTTTACCTAAATTTTGTGGCATAACGATGTTGTATCGAATCATGTATTTATGCATGATAGTTGAAAGTTGAAATCATGTTTCTAATCTCAAAAGAGGACTGTCACGTTAATTCTTCTTTTTTTTAATATATATATAATTTTTAGGGTTTACATTTGTTTAGAAAACCACCTCATGCACACTTCACATCACAGGGCATGACTCTTCTCACTGTAGCTGTGTCACTCAAAAGCCTGAGGCCAAGATGCACCAATGGCATATGCAACAAAGCTTCAACATCACAAATTGCATTTTTTTACACAGCCCTTTACACAATGGCAATTGGGGCAGGGGGAACAAAACCCAATATCTCAACCTTTGGTGCTGACCAATTTGATGACTTCAATCCCAGTGAGAAAGAGCTAAAAGCTTCCTTCTTCAACTGGTGGATGTTTACCTCATTCTTAGGTGCTTTGATTGCCACTTTGGGATTGGTATACATGCAAGAAAACTTAGGATGGGGACTTGGGTATGGGATTCCTACAGCTGGTCTTCTATTGTCCTTAGTCATTTTCTATATCGGCACACCCATATATCGTCACAAAGTGAGAACCTCTAAAAGTCCTGCCAGGGACCTAATTCATGTCCCCATTGCAGCATTCAGAAATAGAAAACTCCAACTTCCTAGTAGCCCCTCAGATCTTTATGAGCATGACATGCAACATTATGTTAATAGTGGAAAACGGCAAGTCTATCACACTCCAGCTTTGAGGTGAGCTTAGTTACTCTTATTTTAAGTAAAAATATGTTCACTTCTCATTATTCTTTTATACTCACCTTTACACCCTTTAAAACATATGATAAAATAAAATATTTGGGTGACAAGAGCGAGATGGGAATACCAAAGAGCTTAGTAAAGCTTATTAAATTTTATAAAATTGACTTATATTTTTTAACATTTTTTAAATTTATTTTAGTAATTTTATGATCAAATATATTAAAAGAACTCGTGTGATAAATTTTTATTAAATAAATATTTAATTGAGTTATTTGCTTTAATGCGTCTTAAAAAAAAAACTTTTTAAGTAATGTAAAAGAATGCATACAAAAAATAACATAAAATAGATGGGATCATGTTCTATTTCTTTCATATAATATGTTCGCACCTTGCATTCTAATGATTAGATAAAGGACGGAAAAAACAAAAGGAAAGAAGAAACTTGTGCAATGTTTCAATTTCAAAGATTATGGTGCCCAAATTGCACACAAGTGGGTTGTTTTAGATTGCGGGGCTAATAATTCTAGTGGTAGTGGCCTAGTGGGGTAACATACAGTAAAATTTGGAAGCATCTCGGAAAGGCATTTTCCATCTTTACCTAACCCATCAATTTGACAGAGAATTTAGAAAAGGGTCCATGTCTAAAGATTCCATGTTCCCCCTTTAAAAATCTCTTGGTTCTGAAGCAGTCAAAGGGAGTTTTATTCAGTATAATTTTGTGTGCATAACCAGGGAACCCACTATTTGAGGCAAAAGGATGAGGCATTTGAGGCCTTATATGTCATTCGTCTCATTGAATTTTTTCCATATGCACATTTGAGGCCCTCTTTGATGACTAGTCACTATCATTCAGCCAAGTTGTTTCTCCAATATCCGAAATGTCACAGTTGTGACCACAGATACACCACTGTTGCTAATTATTGCAAACGCTAATTATCACAAACCATTTAGCATCTTGCATGCAAAACACGGTATGGTCCTCATTTGCATTCTTGGTGCATAGAGAGACACATAAGATCAATCCATTATTAGAAGATTGGAACATTAATTCCACTGCTACACAATGACAAATATTTTTTACTTGCAACAATTTTGTTAGATAGTGAAAGTTTGTGTACTGTTCAGGTTTTTGGACAAGGCTGCTATTAAAAAAGACAACACTGGTTTCTCAAGTGCACCATTAACTGTAACCCAAGTGGAAGGAGCAAAGCTTATTTTTGGTATGGTCCTTGTATGGCTAGTGACACTGATTCCAAGCACCATTTGGGCACAAATCAACACACTTTTTGTGAAACAAGGCACTACTTTGGACAGAAACCTTGGCCCTCGTTTTAAGATTCCATCAGCCTCTCTTGGAAGCTTTGTGACTCTCTCAATGCTTCTCTCAGTGCCAATGTATGATCGGTTTTTCGTGCCGTTCATGCGCCGGAAAACCGGACACCCGAGAGGAATCACCTTGCTTCAAAGGCTTGGCATTGGATTTTCAATCCAGATCATAGCCATTGCAATTGCTTATGCAGTAGAAGTTAGAAGAATACATGTCATAAGAGAAAATCAGATAGCTGGTCCTAAAGATATAGTCCCTATGAGCATATTTTGGTTGTTACCTCAATATGTTCTAATTGGAATAGCAGATGTGTTCAATGCCATTGGATTGTTAGAATTCTTCTATGATCAATCCCCTGAAGACATGCAAAGTCTTGGAACAACATTCTTCACAAGTGGAATTGGTGTTGGGAACTTCTTGAACAGTTTTTTGGTGACAATAGTTGATAAAATATCAGGAAGGGGTGAGAAAAAGAGTTGGATAGGGGACAACTTGAATGATTGTCACTTGGACTACTATTATGGGTTTTTGTTGGTCTTGTCAAGTGTCAACTTGGTGGTTTTTCTTTGGGTTTCAAGTAGATATATTTATAAGAGGGAGTCAATAAGGGTCAAAGAGGGCCTTTGTGTTCAAATGGAGGGAAACCCAACTTTGGATGCCTCTCTTGGTTTACAAGTATGAAAACTAGTTAGAGGGTGGTAGGGCATGATATATAAATAACCAGTAGTGATATTTTAAACCTAAAATTTTCTTCACAGATTCTGCGCCAAACTGATAAATGATTGTTCTTTGAATTTAGTTGGCCCCTCCTATAAGTTAAGTTGGAGCCAAATAAATTCAGATACACAAGTTTGTGTGGAATTTCTGAAAAAATTATAGATTAATATCCTCCCTGCACCATGTGTGCTAGTTAGTAAAATATGTGTGCAATTTAAGATTTTTTTTCTTTTCCCTGCTTTTGCTAATAGAATTTCATTTACAAATGCAATGTTTCAACCTTTCTTTCTGAAGTTTATCTTTTTCATTTAAGGAATAGAGATATTTCAAATAACTAAACAATGTATCTAATTAGAAGAGCGTGTTGGATTAAAATTTTCACAAATTCAAATGATGGTGAAAAATATTCAAGTCCTTCAGGTAGATATATAACCTAATGCATTGGCAGATTGATGAAAACAAATAATCGTGTCATAAGTTAATGGTATGGTTTGCACGAAGAGCCCTCGGAACCTATGCTAAATTGAAACAGAGAGACGTCTTTGAAAGTTGAAATACGATCATCTTCACCTACGTTAAAAAAAGAAAAAACGTTTATTCAGAAAAAAAAATATTAGCAACTTATTCTTCAATACGGTCTTTTAAATATATAATTTATTATTGAATAAATTTTACTAAAAATTACAAAAATTATGTGAAAATATATTTGATAGAGGTGTGGTTTTTCAGCCTTTTAATCCTAATCTTAAGGTGCCCAAAAAAATCTCAATTCAAAATTGAAAACTTTACAAAACTTGAACTGAGGATATAATGAAGATTATTCAATGCCCTCCTTTATAGAAGGGAGAGAGATAAACTGAGATTAAGTTTCATATATTTTTGCCATCAAGTTCTTTAAACCAAATGATGAGACGTGCATATCTTTTTCAAAACTTTACAACACATTTAATGAAAATTATTTAATATTTGAAAAATATCCATATGTAATTGTTTAAATGAAGAACTGCATGGTACAAATATAAAGAATTTGATCTAAATTTTGACAAAAGAAAAAGGTAAGGTACCTCCTACAGTAAAATATTGCAAAAACTAACCATCATCACTAAAAAGTATAAACATCTTCCACTCAGTTCCTTTTGCAACTTGCGATTAAACATGGCTTCAGGTGTGGGGCAAACTTCATTCTAGAGGAGCAAGGTTCCTCCGAGAAAACTTCTGATGAACTAAATGACCTTCATAATGCTTGAGTTTCAGGCAAAATATATTAAAGCTTCAAAATATAAAAGCTACACCCTTACTTTGAAAAGAGGAATTGCAATACGTTACACCTTTTAGAGTAAAATATGGACTTGAGAGCTATTGATGAAAAATCAACAGTTGAGACATTTTTATGAAATTCAAGCTTTCATGTGACAAATGATATGATTGTGCAAAAACGTCAAATTCTTTAAACTTCTCATTCTACCATGTACTTTATACAATGGACAGTATAACTAAGATAATCCATACTATATAAAATGAACTAATAAAATTTATATAGAGGACCAAAATTAGTTAGTTTCTTAAGAACGATTAAAAATCAATTTGTGTTTAATCTATCACTATGCATGCAATGACTTAATAGAAAAGTAGTTGAAGTTTCACTCATATAAGGACGGCAAAGTGACATTTCACTGTTAGTCATGCATACCCAAGCAAAACCTTGGAGAATATATCAATAGAATATGTGTAACAGCATCGAACAATCTTGATCGCAGAACAACCAAATAAGCTACGGCTAAACTTTTCCCTTTTTCTTTCATTTGCACTGAGATTGAATGTATGTGTTGTAGGTGGGGGCTTTCTTACAATAGTCTCATAACGAAGAACTATAGCATTTGGAAAATATTAGAGATTCCGAGATCAAATTAACATATTGGCATTTCGTTCCTTGCAGAAAACAAGTTTTAGTTAATAACCAGAAAAATATTATCAGTAAGTATTACATAACTTTATTGCTAACTGGTGGAGTAGCAGAGTCTAACAAAGAATTAAAGACGGTATGATGTGATGACATCTCTGAATTCAGCAGCCATTCTCAAGAAAAACCATGTATTATATAGTATAAATATCAACAATTCAATTATCGATTCATCATAGTAACTTTGTCACAACTGTAATTCACAACATTAAATCAGTGAATATTTTAAGGAGTACACCACTTTGCTACTGCTGTTGCTGCTCACCTTGCCAAATGCAGACAATATCTTTGAGTGCAGGTCTTATATCCTCCTTCAATATCTTCTGGTATTCTAATGTATCACCACAGGACTTCTTCATCTCAACCAAATGGAAAGCTGGGGTCAGCTCAAAAATTTCGGCATCAATGGATAGAAGCCCTTTTCTATCTTCCCTGGATCTCTCCAATTTCAGTAACCCTCCATCCTTCTTAGTTATCTCCATCCTCAGAATGCCAGCAATATCCTCCATTGTAGACATGATGGATGAGGCAGAGCTCATGAATGTAAATTTGATATCTTCCTGTCCATCATTGCTAGCAAAAAGGCCAGACAAGTCAAGCCCAGAGGACAGAGAAATTATATCAAAAGCATTTAAATTTGTAGGCTTAACTAATACTTGATCAGCCTCAACAGCAGCACTTCTGTTCTCACACAAACCAAGAACTTGATCAGAATCAACTAAAGCCACATTTGTAGCCCCTCTTTTCACTTGATCAAATTTGGATTTGAATCCTTTTCTGAACCAAGAATTTTCCAAGACTTTTGCCGTGGATATCCTAGTATCTGGGTTGGGATCGAGGATTCTTGCCAATAGTCTACGCACTTCAAATGAAAACCAGTTTGGACATTTGTAATCTGCCTTGCCTATTTTCTTATACAGTGACATAAGATTCAAATCATAGAATGGCAAATGGCCAGCCAAAAGAACAAATAATATCACTCCGCAAGACCATACATCTGCTTTTGCTCCATCATAACCCTTTCTACTTATAACCTCAGGAGCTACATATGCAGGAGTTCCACAAACTGTATGCAGCATGTTGCCTTGACGATGAGATTCAACAAGTGCACTCAATCCAAAATCTGCTACCTTGAGAACTCCATTCTCATCCAAAAGCAAGTTCTCTGGCTTCAAATCCCTGTGATAAACACCCCTGCTGTGGCAAAAATCAACAGCACTGATCAATTGTTGAAAGTACTTCCTTGCCTTGTCCTCATGGAGTCTACCTTTAGCTACCTTGTTGAAAAGTTCACCCCCTTTGGCATATTCTATGATGAAGTAAATCTTGGTTTTGGTGGCCAAGACCTCATAAAGCTGCAAAACATTTGGGTGTTTAACAAGTTTCATGATAGATATCTCACGCTTTGTTTGATCCACCAGCCCAACTTTAAGAACTTTCTCCTTGTCAATCACCTTAATGGCAACATTCTCACCACTTCTGAGGTCCCTTGCATGGTAAACCTTTGCAAAGTTTCCTTGGCCTAATAGTTTTCCAAACTCATACTTATGCATCAATACATTACCCCTTTTCTCCATTTCAGCACAAACCCTCACACAAATTAAGCACCCTAGTTTATTCTCACCAAGGAAACTTTCTTTGTCAAGGTTCTGCTTCACCGTGAAATACACAACACCAGCAATTTCATTGTGTATTAACAATAAGAAGTTTATAAGTCTTTCAGTTGAGTTTTAACTACAGAACTGTTTCAGAGAAGGTGCTCTCAATGTTCAGGCACATATTTATGCATCCCAGGTGTCAATTCAAATGCTCTCCCTGGGATTGAGGAACAAAAACAGTAAAATACGCATATATGAAGGTTCCAATACAAGGGCATGGCATATATGAAGTTGAATTAGAACAGAAAGGAATTCACAGAAATAATCCAGTGAAAGAGAGCAGAGGGTATCACAAAAATTGAAACTTGGACACTCACAACGCCAGAACATAATCATATAATCATCTGACACCAAAAATGATAAAGAAAACCAAATAAACAAAGCCAAAACTCCACTTTCCCTTGATCGATCAATCATCCGAACAAAAAAGTTTGACAATTCACTTGAATTCAGACATTAACAAGCCCAGAAGATCACACAAAGCTAGTGAAGAATGAAGACAGAGAAAAAGAAAGCATTACCGTCTGAAGGAACGGGAGAGCCTTGAAGAGAAGAAACGTTAGAAACCAAAAAGCATAATGTTATTGGAAGCAGCAAGTAAGCTTAGTTATAAAGGCATTTTCGGGTACCACTTTAGTGACAAAAGTGAAGGTTCCAATGTGGGGTAGGACTTTGGAGTACCATGAAATCAAACATTCAAACTAAAGCTTTCTCTACCCCTTAAAGGTACCATTAAGATGTACACTTGCCAGGTAGGTAGAGGCAGTGGCATCACACAAGAAAAGTTGGTATCAATGACCATTAATGAGTTTTGCATTCTTACCAATAACAAGAGGGATTTTTCTTCTTCCTTTTTTTGGATAGAATTAAACATTTGATTTATAGTTGGTTGATTCTTTAGGTAATAAATGTGAATTATGATAAAGCATTTTTACAAAATCAAAAAGAATCTTATATATTAATCGACATTTAATTTAAAATTATCCCTGATCCCAAAGGTTGAAAAAAATTATATGATAATTTAAATATTATTAAGGATTGAACGTTTAATCACATACAACAACAAAAAAAAGCCTTCTGAGAGTAAAAAAAAAAAGATAAGCTTTATTTTGTTTATAAATAAATGTGATAGCTTTAAAATAGAAAGGTTTTTATGATTGTACATTTTTTTAATCATATAGTCAGATATGAGATTTGTATGCAAACATATAAACTTGAGACTTTGTTATCAATGGGCACGTTGCCCGGTGGCCAAAATTTCAGACTCCAACGTTACGTGTTATAAACATCAAGTGTTGTTTTCTTTGGTTTTGAAATTTCCCTTTGGTACAAGGTAAAATGGACCCGTTGCTTACATGTATCTGATTTGGATTCGGTACCATATCAGTTATCATATTACTTATTTTATAGTATTGTCAATTATTACATCACTTAAAGACCACGTATCTGCGTATTTGTCTTCGCTGTTGGTAGCTTAATTCTTTCACTTGTATGCTTTTTTATACACATTTTCAACCCAAAACGCCAACCCAACTTGTGTAGAGCTTAGAATAAAATGTATCAACCTACCCAATCTCCATTACATTAAGCATATGATATTTGCTGGTAGACAATATGCATTGAAGAGGAATTATGTCGATTAAAAAATTTGAGGCTCTCTAAAATACCCTTCAGTTTCCAAATTGCGAATCATAAACAAATATATCTAACTAGCAAAAATATGAAATGAACTTTATTATTTATTTTAAAAGAGACAGATTTAACATGATGATGATGTGGGTATTGTCGAATCAGCATTTGAACATCACCATATATTATATGATATAGCCTTGAATTGGTGCCTTACAATACCTTACATTTGCCAGTCTAGATATCTAAAGCCTAAGCTCTATAATAGATGTCTCATCACTTCATCTTCAGCTAGTTAACAGGATCTTCAGATATTAGAGGTACTGTTGAATTTTCTGGTATTAATTAATCTTGTGAAGTGGAGAGATTCAGAATGGGTAGAGCGTCCTTTCAAGTGAAAATCAACCACAAATGAATCTTTTTATTGCAGAACATGTAGCTAACGTAGGGTGGGTTTAGAAATAGTGATTCAATAACATTTTCTCAAATGATAACTTATGTTATAAATTTAAAAATGAAATTTATTAAAATAAGTTAAAAATGATATATTTTAATAAATTATATCAATAACATTATTAAAATAAATAAAAAATAAATTATTAAAGTCATACATATTTTTTAAAAACAATCTCAATCTTTTAATGGAGTTAAACATTTTTTAAAATGTTGATCAACTTATGGAAATTTAAAATTATTTAATTTACAAATTTACTGAAAAAACTGAGTAAAAGTTGGGATAAAGAATTATTTACTTGATTACATAAATACATGGGACTCGAAATAAAATATAAAATGTTCAACTTGTTTGTTTGGGACTAAATCGACCCCACTAATGAGTAATCTTCACCCTTAATTCTAACATATTTAATTTACCTTTAGATGGCTTAGTTGCACTATTTTGGTCAATTAATAATTTTGGCTCTTCTATAATTTTTTTACAACAATTAAATCTCTTTAAGTTTTTAATGAAAAAATAATAATAAAGTTCCATTGGCAGTCTACAGTTTATGTGGCTAATACAACGATTTGATGGATCAACTGGTAACTTAAATTTATTTAAATATACCATTTTATTTTAAATTTATTTATCTTGCGATTTCAATAAATAAAAGTCATACTTCTTCGCTTTCTCTTTATCATTTCACTTTAAACGATAACACAAATTAAAAATTGCAATTAACATATTCATTTATACTGAAATTACTTTTAACTTCATAGTATGACCTCCACTATTATTTGTCCCACATTTATGATAAAGATGTAATAAAAAAAATTAATGTTATCTTAAACTTTTAAATAAATAAAAACAAGATGTTCTTTTAAAAGTGGTCTAATAAAAGGACTTATATGGAGTAAGTGCATTAAAATTCTAACTTATTAAAGTGTTAAGTAATGTATATCATCATCAATCATGTCACTAACTTTTGTCAATGAGCAGACAACAAACTAATAAAAGAATCTATTTTTATCAACTAGGAAAAACAAAAAAATGATAACAACCATTTTTAGGACACTGATTAAGAAATCAAAATTTTTTTAAAAAAAAGTTACTAATGTATCATAATTTTCAATACAACATCAACATGATTTCTAATATTTTATGTATCAATTGCTTAGCAAGACCATTAGAAAATTAGGAGATTTGGCTGCTGTAAACAGTTATTAAAGAATAAAAATCAAACATTCACAAAAATGATAGAACTAAAAATACAAGTAAAAAAATAATCAATCATAATTAGCTTCTTAGTATTGGATTGCTTTGGCAACCTCAAAAAAATGTGCAACATTCTCCTCAGGCGTACCTACTTTAATGCCATGACCAAGATTCAAGATATGTTTCCCTCTACCTGCTTTTCTTACAGTATCATTTATCCGATCAGTGATGAAATCTTTTGAACCAAAAAGAACACCAGGGTCCACATTACCCTGCACAGCTATATTTGGTCCCAATCGCCTCCTACCATCAGCCATATCAACTGTCCAATCCAAGCTAACTACATCCACACCTGTCAAAGCTAGTCTCTCTAGCAAGCCCCCAGACCCACTTGCATAGAGGATCAAAGGGAGTTTTGGATGTGTTTTCTTCACAGTATCAATAATTTGCTTCAAGTATGGCAAACTGAATTCTTCAAAATCCACTGGACTAAGCTCTGTTGCCCATGAATCAAAGATCTGAACAGCTTGAGCTCCATTGTCAGCTTGGTATTGAATGTATCTTGCCATTGAGGTTGTAAACTTCTGCAGTAATGAGTGGAGGATCTGTGGACAGATCACAGTTCCATAAAGTAAACGAGTGTAATGAGTTAAAAAATAGAGCAGAACTTGATTAACAAACAACTTTTCTGGCCAAGTCCTGATTTTTAATCACAAGGTCAATAATTCAGTTGATCCATCAATGTACAAGCTCATCGTAACATGCATGCGCAGACAGGCACACACACAAAAAAAGATAAAAAACAGACCAAATATGGTAGCATGATCCATGCTAACTAGTTTCCAGTTCAACCAGATCTAACTTTCTAAATATATGACCAACTTAAGGATTTGTTGGTGACTTAAAACGTAAGAACATGTGGAGTTGCCACAGTAGAAAGTTTAGGGTGCCTGAATGATAAGGGAAGATGGTTGAAGATTACCTTGGATTCAGAGAAAGCCAATCTCTTTATTTTTGAGAAGTGTTTTGATGAACCACCTTCAACCACATATGATGCCAGGGTGAATGGAGCCCCAACAAAACCAAGGACTGCAGCTTTATTATCCACCTGCGGTAAATTCTTTTGAATTCAATAAGATAGTAAACCATAAAGGAATACATTTGTTGTGCCACAGAGAATAATGATAAAGCAACAACAATATGGAATTCGATAGACAGTTCAATAAAATAGATGATTCTGCAAGTTTTAAGAATATATGTTCCCCTAAGTACCACATGAGATATGCCTTCAATCACTTTTTTCCAACATTCCATGTTATTAGAACCCTCCAAAGCATCCATACAATGCTGAATACCTCTAAACTCGAATAAATATACAGAATTTCCAGTCTTGTGTTGCTTGAATAAACAGACAGGTTTTAGCTATAAAAGGAAGTGTGGTGTCAAATGAACAAAAGCAGAGAGAGATGCAATGGTAACATAGGACCAAACAGACCTCTTTCCTCAAAATTGTTAGTGCTTCACCAACGTATGGAACTGACTCTTCAGGATTGAACTCCCTCACTTGGTCAACCTGGGCAGCTGTGTGAATAGGGTCAAATATGACAGGACCCTTGCCCTTCACAATATCAAAGGGTATATTCATTCCAGAAAGTGGGGTAAGAATGTCTGAGAATAAAATCACCTGTCACAGAATCAGTATCAAGCAAATTTTATTAGCAATTAAAAAAAATACCTAAAAAGCATAAATATAATGAAGCGTGCTAGAGATTTATCTTACACCATCTGGCTTGAAAACATTCCAAGGTTGCAATGATATTTCCACCACAAGATCAACATTTTCAGATCTTTCACGGAATGAAGGATATTTCTCACAGATGATTTGGTAAGTCTGGTTGATAAAAAAGATTGGAAAATTAAACTACTTTCAGTAAAGACATACCCACTGAACTCATGATGAATAAAACGCCAAATAATTTCATGTTTGGTGGCATTTAAAACAAGATAGGTGTCGGAATTTTAATTCACAAGTGAAGACAATTCAAACAGAGTTAATAACAACACATCCACTTGTACCAAATGCAGTTCCTTTTTTTTATAAAGAACATACAAAAATCGACAAACACCAAATACCAAACTTGACTGTCCTAAAAAAAAACCATGATGGAATTCCCAAGTTCTGAAGAAGATAATTAATTTTACAAAACCATAACATAAGAATTAGCAGTATAAACCTGCCTTCATGTATCTCCCTGCTTGCCTCATGAGCCAAACAGGGGGTCTTTCAACATCTAATCCACGAACTGCATTAAGCAAGAGTGGTTCAGTAGTGGCCGTTGATTTTGGTTCAGCAACTGTTCCTGTACATAATTTTCCAGAACACAGAGATACAATTAAAAACAGTGATTCATTAATTAGCTAATAAAAATCAAGAATTGAGCTTTGACTTAAAATGACGACTAAGAACACATAAGAAATTGGAACAATACGTTTATGGCAAAATGGTAGTGTCAACTATGAGTTCTGAATCATTAAATTATATATTAAAAATTCGATTTTGATTTTGGGGATGAGTTACCTGGGTCTTGGAAAGCTGAAAATGACGAGAAAAAGATGGGTGGAATTGTAGAATAATGCCCTCGGAAAATGGAAATTTGTGAAAAACCCTAAAAAAGTGAATATTGATACCTGGAAGGGTGCAGGATATTGGGGTCCTTGACTTGAAGGAAAAAACTGAACTTGATGTTTTGGGTAAGATAAAGCTGAAAGCAGTGTTGAGGCACAACATGTTTGAATTGAATTGAAGTGTGTTTGCTGCACCAACGATAAGAGAGAGAGGAGAGAGAGAAGAGAGATAAGGGAAATCACATTACAAATCCCCAATCCATTCCACTTTCGCCATGTCACCAACTGTACCATGGAATTTTCTGACAATACTACCTATCACTTCCATTCAAAAATGCAAATAACTGCATTAGATAATTAGCTAAGAAAATAAATCAAAATATAGAATATTTAATGAAAATAAAGTGTTTATTATATTAAAAATGTAAAGTTATTTAATAGATTATATTGATATCTTTTAAATTAAGATTTTTAAGTACATATTAATAATAATATTACTATCATTGCATGAGATTTTTTTATTTGTAATACTTTAAAATTATACACTAGTTAATATATATAAAGGTTAATATTCATAGACATATATAAAGATTTTAGGCTCTTAGGATATTTAATTATAAATCTATTTTAAAAAATAGTTCAAGTTTGTATTTAAATTTAAGAAATAGATTAAGTCTGTTTAAAGTAAAGTGTATTGCAGACTAAAGTATTTTTATTTTTATTCTCAATATTTAAAAAGTTGGGCTTTGACAAATTTTAGTTTAATCAAATGAATCACTTCTGTACTCACCGGTGTCATTGTCAATTTTTAAGTTTTGATTTAAAAAATTAAAAGTATTTTTAGTTTATGTGATTTTTTATCTTTAAAATTTAATATCAAACTTCAAAATCAAACATAAATAAATTTTCATTTACTCAATTACACATCTGTTTCTTTTTAAAAATAAAATTATTTCCAAAATTCTAAGCCAACAACTCTACAATAAGAATAGTAATTTATAAACAATCAAGTTTTCTTAAATATAAATAGGTTGCATTGATATATCGGAATCAAAAAGCAGAAAAGTGCCTTTGCTTTTGTACAGACAGACAAAAGCATGCAGAAGAGTGCTACCTTAACTTACTATAAAACAATGACAAAAAAAAAAAAATACTTAGATTATAAAATATTATTAGACCAAAAGAATAGATTATGAAATATTGACCTTTCCTTTTAAAGATAAGCATTGACCTTTTATTATTTACGAATAGACTCAAAAACGTTCATGAGCCAAACAAATGTTGAATATCATGTTGAATAAGGACTTGAATCCCTCATGATACCGTTTCAAATCTCAATCAAATTTCATTTTAAAATCTACATTATATTAACCAAAAATAGATAAATCTTGGGGGGATCTAAATCCCATTTTGGAACTGACAAAACTGGAAGTGCAAAGAAAAAAAAAAATATAGAACATTCAGATAACATCAGACCAAACTGATTGCAATTTTATTTTATATAAAAAAAAATTATGGCTGCATAACTAAATAATTACAAGGAAAATTAGTAGAGGGGGAAATAGTAAGGAAAATATATCAGAAAATGGTGTCTATTGTAAGTTTCCTTTTAGGAGGAGTTTTCTCTATGATCTGCCTCTGCAGGTCCATAAATGTAGAACCATTGTTAGCAAATAGCCTTCGCAAGTTGATCACAGAAAGTTCACTAAAGTTAGCAACAGTAAGATCAGCCTGCCCCAAATCATACCTGCAGGTTTCAACATCAATCAGTTTCTAAATGCCAAAAGAATAATTTCATAAAAGAATTTCAAGTATTGAAATGTGTAACTGAATGGAAATTATTCTTCCATTCCAAAGGAAGAGAAATACTATGGATTAATGTTATCCCATGAAAGCTGATTCAAAATCAAATACCAAGTTTAACTTCTGCTGATTTCCATGTACTTGTGTACATGGAAAATGGTGTTTCCACATGAAAAGCACTAAACTGGAAACATCCATGCATCATGCCTTATGTTTCATGAAATTTTACGGGAAAATGCTATCAAATGCCTTTCAGGCACTAGTAAAAGGATCAAAAAGAGAAAGTTTTATTGATTATATACCATTTTAGTTAAAGAAAAAAAATACTTCAGTGCATTTTAGAGCACATGTGAGCAGGACCCAATTTCAATTTCATAGTAACATCTTATATTAATTTTGCATAAATGTAAATTACTCACGCAGGATGAGCTCCAATCAATGCTACAGCCATCATCGTACAATTGTGTGCAGCAGTTACACCTCTAGGATCATCTTCAAAAACCACACACTTGGAAGGTTTTCGATCCAGCTGCAAGGCATATAGGCAACAGGTCAAAAACTAGCAGGATATTGTAGAAAGAATTTATGGAAGATTTGTAGAATAATTAGCTAGTGAAAAGATAAGTGTTATATAATAAATAAATATAGTAATAATATTAATAATTCCAAGCCAGAAATATTTCATCAAAATTACAATCAGATGGATGGAACTATACCTTGACAGCAGCAGAAAGAAATCTATGAGCTATTGACTCCATTCCATCTTCTTCAGTCACAATTGCCTGAAAATCAAATAAGGCAATCAGCAAGTGGCAGATTCATAAGTATGTTAAGAACGTGTTTCTTTCTCTTTTCAGTGTGTGGAGTTAACAAAATCTAAGGACTAAAATTGAATCTGGAGAAACAACGCAAAATTGATTTCTTGTTAATTCTTCTAAAATATTACCAACCTGGAAATACTTCTTGAGCTCCATTCGTTCCAAAGCTTCTACTACATTTCTTCTATCAAGACTTGAAACAACAGCACAAGGGATGCGAGCAGTATAAACTGCCTCCAACCATTCTTTGAGGCCATCCGCTGGTCTTTCAAGCTACACAAATTTACATGCAAGATATGTCAGATTTCACCCCTAGAAACCCTAGATAGTAGCCGTCAGAATAAATCAAGACAGCAACTTACTCTTAGAAGATTATCATAATATAACTGAGAAAATCTCAACTTTAGTCTATCCAGCTCATTTTCTGCCTTATCTGATAGGAAATGCTGCAAATTAAAAAACGGATAGTCAGCTAAAAGATATTTGTTTAGAGCAAACTGCAAAGTTTTCATTTTTTTAATGATGACACTATCTTTAAGAAAGTGTGTCTTTCTAATTCAATGCTCAAGTAAAACCAACTAAGCAGAAGAAAAGGGCAACTAACCTTATGCAACACGTGATCAGCACCTGCATAAAGCAATAATCTTTGCATATCACCATCTTCAGGTATATCCTTTCCTGCATATGAAAATCATAGTCATCAATCTCAGATAGCAGTACATAGTGGCCAATAGCAAAAAAAGTCAAGGAAACTAAAAAAAATCTGAAGACATTCATATTTCAAACACAAGATATACTAAACATTAAAAAAATGGGGATGGGTGTTGCGCAGAGAAAATAACAGAGGTGGTTGAGGATTTTCAGAATAGAGGTGATTTAGAGTTCAAAATTATTAAAAGGATGGAGGGTTGGTGTCAACAGAAATATTTCCAGTGCTGGGTGGGTGTTGCAGAAGTGTGAGAAACTACATCCAATAAGGGTTTCTCTCTATTCTAAAACTAAAAGGGGAAGGAAATTTTAACTCTACCCCTAACCTCCCCTACCCCCAAACAATATTGTTTTGAAGGCAAAAATGGGTTTTAAAAATTTCTTGTCCTAACTCCACTATAGCCCTGTGAAAGGCTGTTATTTTTGCTGCCATTGTAGTTACAGCAACAGCCCCTACTCAATAACACCGCCATGCTGCTACAGCCCAATGAGTAACTATGATGAAAATGTTGTAAATTATAATCTTTCTCTGCAATGATGCACATGGTAACCTGTTCCATAAGTCTGATAAAGTACAGTTATTTATCTGTTAGTCAGCTGCACAAGTTTCCCTTTGTTCATTGAACTTGTTTGATAAATTATATAATCTGTCAGTCACCCCTTAAAAATGGCAGCATTTCTCATTAAGTCATTCTAGTATGAATTGACAAAGGGAAGACAAGGAAATGGAATGGGAAATAATAAAAGGAAATGCCCAGCTCCTCATTTGGATATGCAAGGCATAAAGGAAGGAAGGAAAAGGTGTTCCCTAGGAAGGATTTTTCTTTAACTTTTCCTTTCAAAAGTGGACAAAAAGTGGAGGTGTGCAGGGCATGGAAAAGATTTTCATCAAATCTTCTGAAATTTCCATTTTCATCTACCAACAATGAAGAGGAAACAATTTAAACAATAACAGTTGACAAGTTTAGAAGGAAAAAATTATAATAAAAAAATCTTCCCTTTCCTTTCTACAAAGTCTAAGTTGTGTTCCCAAACAGACAAATGTCAATTGAATATCCAAACAAAGGAATGATTATTCATTATACTTCCAATGTATTCCATGCCTTTATGGAGATTGTATCCTTTTATTTCTGTCTTGTTCCATCAATTTAAAAGAGAATGCATGTTAAAGATTGTCCAATCTAAGCCCCACAGTAAAACAATTAACATACCCTCTTCAGACGCCAGCTGCTTCCATGCCTTCCTCTTTAGAGCTCGTGTATCAGCCTGCAATAAATTGCATGCTTTTATCAGGGAGTTAATCCAAACACACTGGTTGCATGATATCATGTATGGTCATTCACTTCTTTTCTCAAGATTCAGTCATAGCAGTCAGGCCCACAAGTAATTAACAAGAACAATACACCCCTTCCACGTGATTGCAATATATATAAAAACTCAATTTGCATCACTTATCATTTTTAAAACATGAAAAAAATACTTTAGTAAAGCCAAGTATCTAGCACGTGTCATTCTAAACCCAAGAGAGGGGGGGGACTACATGCTTGAGTTAAAATTACTTACCACCACGTTGTCCCAAGAGAAGATAAGTCCATAAGCTTCATCAGGCTTCATAGCATAGCGTATACGCTGAAGAAAACCATCTTGCAATTTTTCATTCAAATAGTCCTATTTTCAAATAGAATTAGCATTCTTCAATCATTATTACTGTATACTTGCACAAAAAAGTACGGATAGGTAATCCAAGTCTAAAGGAAAACTAGAAAATAACAGTGATCAAAATTCCCTACCACATCAACTTTTAATGGTCCATCAGTCCTAAAAGTCTCAAAGCCTTCCCCATATTCAGCTCCAATAGCCTGGAAGGAAGCACCAAATGAGAAGAGTTCCAATCACCTTACAATACATTACTCAATTCACTGCTCCAACAAGATTTCATAATATGAAGGGGAAATGAAAAGCACAATAAAAGAGTACCTAAGCTAAGAAAACAAGTATTTACTGGGAAAAAAAAAAGTATTCATTATGGACGTGTTAGGGTGAACAACTTAATTAAGCACTTTCGATATGTTGTTCTTCACGAGAGCTTATTATAAGGTTGACTTTTAAGCTTACTGAAATATGCTCAATAGAGCTTATTTGATATAAAATTCTATGAAACTAATTAAAATGAGCTAAAAAAAGTTTGCAAGAATATTATAAGCCACTTTCATAAACTGAAATAAGCTCTTCTTAAAAGCCTATACGCAAATTCCAAAACATAAAAATCATTTAATCCTCTTTTATTCAGTAATTAAGATATTTGATAAGGTGCGTTTTTTTAACCGGTGTCCTAAGGCTAGCTGGACGTAAAAGAGAAACAGTAGACACTGGAAAAAAAATCAAAAAAATGAATTCGGACACTTGAAAAGAAACAGAAGATTAAGTAGCATCGGTACCTCCTCCACAAAAAGCTTATTGGGTGTGGAGTGCAACCCATTAACAGACCCAAATTCATCTGACCCAGAACTGCAACGAGCAATTAGGCGATTCTTAACCAAACCCCAACGCTTTAATTTCTGAAAATAAGGGAAAAAAAAAACAAAAAAAAAATCAGAGTAAATGAAAGAACATATAAAACAGACATATGTATATATATATATATATATATATATATATATATATATATAGAGAGAGAGAGAGAGAGAGAGAGAGAGAGAGAAGGAATTGCAGACCAAAAATGGGAGATGAAGAGGAAAAGGAGAGGGTTGAAAGCGATAAGTGGGTGTGGGAGGAATTGCATGAGAAGAGGGTGTGGAATATGCAAAAGTGGTGAAGTCCATGGGATTGGGACACACAACAACGTTAACGTTACGGAAGCTGAACAAAGAAGAAGAAGATGACGATGACGATGTTGTTGTTGCTAATGCTGTTTGTTTGGTTTCACTCTTTCTGTGTACTCCCAATTTTTGATGTTTTAATTGCGATCCCAAAGTGTGGTTTCGCCTCTCGATTTTGTACTCACGTGGATTTTTCTGTTTTCTAGTCACGTGACATGTCACGACCTCTTCTTTGGATAAGGAAATTTTTTAAATACACTTAATTAATTAAATGCATTCAAAATAGGAAAATACCAAATTGAATATTTTCAATTACAGACTTATTAAGAAATGGGCTGATAATATTTTTATTGGGCTTCAAATAAATGAGTAATTCTTATCTTTTAAACTTGATTTACTTGTAAATGATTTTTAAAATTTGAAATATATACGATTTTAGTCCTTGACCGTTAAAAATAAGTAGTGAATTAAGTTTTTTCTAATTTTATATTTAAAAAAATATGATCATCCGTCAATTCTTTTTTACTTAAAATCCACAAAAATTTTTTACTCAAAATATTTCAATCATCTTTTATAAAATCACTAACCACACTATCAAATTAATATAAAATAAAAAATATTTATCTTTTATCTTTAAACCACAAATTGATATTTATCAAGCTTTAAAAAAAATATATATTATTGAATTATTTATATCTCAAATATATCATAAACTTTCAAAGATTTGGATAAAAAATAAATTTAAGATTTAAAATAAAAAGATCAATAAAAAGACCAATTTTATTTAGAGTTAAAATTGGAGGTGCTTAATTAGCGCAAAAAATCCTAGGACCAAAATTAAATATAATATAAAGTGGAAAAAAAAAAGTACAATTAAACCTTTTAAGTTGTTTAACAACTTTCCTTCAATTGTCACTTAATTATGGATAATGAAGTATTCACTCAAAATGAAAATGCAAAATTGGTTTGAGCCAAGACTATTCTATATTAAAGATAATAAATAAAACAAATATATTTCTATGGTTAAAAAGTGTTAATTTGGGTCTTTAAAACATTGATTAAAGAATAAAAATATTAAAAATCACATTATATAAGTGTGTATATTTTTAATTCCTTAACTACCTTTACAGCACATGTTGGCTTCTATAAAAAAAAATCTTTGAAGTATTTGCAGCTGCAGTCCTGCTCTGGTGTTCATCAGTAGAGAAAAACTAAAGCAAGATTTATAAAGCCTAGTGGTCTATGGATTGAGATTTGAAGTTTCCAATGATGTACACCACTCAACAAATATCAATTTATATACTGGTAAAACTGGGAAAAGCACAAGATAGATCATATTTCTAACAATAAAATTATCCAATGATAAAATATTCATACCCTGTGGATAAATTCCCCGTCACTCTTATGCATCCAACGAGAACACATAATCTACTAGCTCCATCAAAGCTAGCTAGGCAATCATCACTCAAACACAACATATTTTACAAAATCAAAAACGCCCACACAACTTTCTACATAAATAACACGAAAGTAAACGCATGAACCAATAAAGAATGACATAGGAAGACATAAAGATGCATGAATAATGGCTATTCCTCGCTGCATAGGGAATGAGGATTGAAATTTCATGTCCTCCTCTTACTTGGCTTCGCCAAGGGGAGTGATATTTGGATGAATCCAAATTTCTTCCTGTGTCCCATGAACTGCTTTTGATCACTCCCCTCTTTCTCAGTCTTTGCTGGAAGAGTTAGATCATCCCTCAGTGCTTGAAGCATTTGACTCAATGCTACCTTTTGTCTTTCAGTGTGCTCTTCCATCTCCTTTCTTGTGGCATATCCTTCAGAAACCTGCTTTCTGCTAAGTACATCTCTCATTGAAATTGTGGGCCTTAAAACAGGCTTTGGATTATTGTTTGGTATTGTTGACCTGGTTACCTCTGGCAATGAATCTTGACAGATTCCAGCTTGAGTGAACTTGTTGCAATTTTTAGAGTGATACTCCTTAAGGTCATCCTCCGGAATCCATCTCCGTAGCGCCTCCTCAGCAGCATGTTGCTTTCTGTTTGCAGTTTCAACTCTGTTTAAAGCATCTGTCAAGACTTGTTTGCTGAGTAGAACTTCTTTTGTTGCTTCTTCCAACTTCTTCAAAATAGTCAGTTTAGAAATATTTGATTCATTGATTTGAAACTTAGAATCCATCACCTTCTTCAAGGTCGATTCCTCAAGTATCTGAGCCTTGGGATTTAAGGGAGAGCGCCCTGCTAAAGTGAAAGTGATTTTCTCAGGTTCTGGCAGAGCAAACCCCAATGATCTCTCAGCACTAGATAGAGCTTTGATTTCAGCAAGAGCAATAGCTTCTGCTGCCTTAGCTGCTTCTTCCATCTTTTTAGCTGCAAGCCACCTCATCTCAGCAGTCTTAACATTATACCCATGTTCTTCATAAACAGTTAAGGGCTTTGAAATTTCAGATCTTCTTGTTTCAACCATCCTATTGCACTGCTCAGAATTGAAATTCTTCGTAACATTTGCAGTATTATCAGAAGTGCACTCGACATGAGACCCAGGTTGATTCAATCTTGTTTGCTCTTGGGCCCTCTCTTTTGCAGAGACAGATGCAAACTTTGATGCTAGTTTTTCACGTGTCCTCTCCAGAAAAATTTTCTCCTTTTTCATCTTCTTATTCAAAGATTCAACAGAGGACTGTATTACCCCAAGTTCATTTATCGTTTTCCCTAGGTTCAATTTGGCTTGTTTCAACTCCATTAATATCATATCAGGTGATGACATAGAGCAAGGACTTGGAATTTGCATTGTCAGTTCTTGATCATTGACAATATTTCCATAATTTTCTTTATCCATCTCCTTAGCAAGAGGAGTTCCAGCATATGAACTTACGTCCCGAGTTGCAAAACATTTCATTGCCTCTTTCTGTAGCTGCTGCTTCAAGTCCTCCACAATCCTCTTGGTAGCACCAAGTTCTTCAAGCACATCAAGTGTTTCAAGTTCTTTGACAATCAAATCCTTCTCCAACTCCGCTGCTTGTTCCTCCACTTTCTTTATGTCAAAATCCTCAATGCTGTTCTGCTAATGATAATCTTCTTCTACATCAGAAAGTAAACTAACACACGAGGCAGGCATCAAGAATGTACAAAGAACTATGCTATGTTTAAAAAGATAACTAATCCACGGGCACTATAACTACATTAAAATAACAAAGATTTCCAAGAAAAAGTGCATGAAAATGGATTCCATCTTTGTAGCAATCGAGTTTAACATTGGCAATACTCCTTTTGCAATAACCCAGAGAGGAAAAATTCATAATACTGTTAGACCAATGTCAGCACCAGGCTTCCAAATTCTCAAAGCAAAGGCATATACTACAACCCAAGAATGTCAAAATAAATAAATAAAAATGGCTTTTCTAATGTATGCTTACGGACAAACAATAAGAAAACTTTTTTATTAAAAATTGCAAGATATTAAAAAATCATTAACATTGGTAATATTAAATGCTATAATTTCTTATAAAAACTTACCATTTATTGATTTTTCGGAATGCTAAAGTTTTTTAGTGTGTAACTTTGATTATGTGTTAGAAAAATTGAAAATAAACCATCAAATTGCAAACTAAAGAAATTCAAACAAACACAAACACACAATGCTCGAAGATGCAAAAACTTACAAAGTGTGGTATCCAAGACCCGCTACCTCCAAAACGGGTCACGGCCTCTTTCACCGACCCGAACGGTGGTGACGTGTCAATCTCTGCTCTGAAATTGACCCTTCTAATCCCACCGGAATTCACTTCCCTTATGGCAGGCGTTCCGGGAACTCCATCGACGGCGGCGGCGTCGCGAGTTTCGGCCATTTCCACCAAAAACGAAAAAACGTACGAACGCAAACGCGGGTTTCAGAGAAGCATCTAATAACAGAGGCGAAAAAGTTTGTTTGGTTAAAGGTTGAACTTCCGAGAAAGCCTCATTGGGGAATTTATGCAATACCGAGTCGAATGGGGGCGTGATCATGATGTCGCGTGGCCGAGTCATGACTCAGTGCCAAAAGGGGAACCAAGTCGCGACTCGGTTAGCGAAACGGGGAAAAGAAAAGGGCAAAGGGTTGCAGAGGACGCTTTTCTGTGGCGCTTTTTCTTTTCTCCGTTGAATGATACGGTGGGGCTGAGGACCACGATTTCCCATGGTGCACTTTAAGGTGGTTGGTTGGTGGCTGCTGTTGAGGAGTGGCATCCAATGAATGATTGCCACGTAAGGGAGAGAGTGCGAGCGTTGGTGTCCTTGATTTGGAGCGTGATTTGCGCGGTTATGAAAAAGCGTTGAGGTTATGATAAGTGATGGACTTTTTGGCAGAGAAAAAGTTTAATATAAGCGATATCAAACGAAACGACGACGTGTTGCGCGACCCACCACTATTCACTATTCACTGAACTTCTTGGATCCAACGGTGACTAGTGCGCACGCAGTAAAAGCATTTTGAAATTATTTAATTTCTTTGAGAAAAATTATTTTTTAAAAAAAAGTACCCAGGATTCAGTGCACGATACTGACGTTTTTAAATTTCTAAAAATATATATGCGAAAAAAATACAATTTTTTCATTTTTACAAATTACAAATAGAACAATTTTCTCCCATTACACCCCAAACATGTTCCCCTTCCTATTTGTCGATTTTTGTATTACCTTATACATTGTATATATAGATTAAAGGGAATAACAATAAGAAGTTAATACAGAAACAAATATTCACTATATTGATAACAGAAATATGCTTCATTATTTTAATTGGTGGCAGCTTATATGTGAAACTGCAAAACTATTTACATTAACAGTGTGATAAATCAGAATGATGATAAATAATCACTTAAGAAGTCTCTAATAATTGTTTTTCCATTCTCCACATTTATTGAAAGGAATATAAAGTGAACACGTTTTAGCAAGGCAGAGAAAATAATTTAAGAGGGTAACGTGCATACCAAAATAAAAGAAGTTGCTATTATTATGGCTTCTTCATCATAAGTTGTCATGATTAGCTCCTTCAGCGGGGAAAAGGTAAAATATACATGCAATGTTGGAGGTTGGCTCGCCAATAAATGGTTTTTTTGGTAGTTTGATTAGATTTGCATGAAATTGGTAGGGATATAGTGAAGCTTCTTTCTGTCCTTTTATGAGCCCTAAAATATTATTTACTTTTAGACTTAGTTATATCTTCTTTTTAAAAGAGACTTAAATTTTATTGTAAAAATATACACACACTTTTTTTTATCTATATGCTACAATGTCCTCCGTGGAACACACTCAAAACTGTGGGGAGATAATTTTGATTACATATTGGTAATTGATTAACGAAAATATGATGATCATGCATTTTCTTTTCGGATTGGATTAAAAATTTGTTATGCTTAAGTCATTGGTTTGTGGTGATGTAGAAGGATTTGGGAACCATTTGTGCTTCTTTTTATATCATTCGATTTTTTTTATTGATAAAAAGAATCGAATTTTACCACGAAATAGTATTAGCATTAGTGAAAATTATATATATATATATATATATATATATATGAAAATAATTTTTTAAATTTTTTTTTATATTTAAAGTTAGTTAATGAAATAATAAATTATAACTCATTAAATAAAAAGTTCAGATTAAATGGAAGAATATTTAGATGTATATTAATATAAAAGAATTCTTTTATATATATATATATAATATTTATTTTAAAAGTATTTTCTCGATTTTATTAGATATCGCATGATGTAAGAGTTTTGTTTTATTTAAGATGTCAATTATTGACATTATTGGTGAAATGTGATTACATATATTCTAGTCTATTAATTAATGTGAAGGGTTAAGCTTATCGCAACTATTTTTAATATTTAATTCTCAATTTAAACATGGAGTATAATAAAAACATTTTAATGTGCGTGTAGTATCTGACTTTGGAAAAAATAATAATAATAAATATCGAACTGGCGATTTTTAAATTTAGTGCATGCTTTGTATTTTTTTTAAATGTATTTCTTTTACAAAATAAAGGCTTATATTTTAGTCTAAATTAAGTCTAATTAAATCCACCCAACATATATAAATATAAAAAATGTCACCTTATATACTCTTTTACAGTTTGCTAATCCAATCTTCATTAGCCCATCACGAAGGAAACTATATTTGGCCCATTTTAATCATATAATTAAGACACAGCAATTATTGTAATAAAAAAAGCTAAAGTTAAACGGTGAAAAGCTGGAAAATGTGTAAAAAAAATGTCAAGTTATTGGAGAGATGCGGATAATTAAATAATTCATAACTAAAAATGAGAATTTGTTTTGTATTAAAACTTAAATTAAAAACATTTTAAATTTGAATTAAAATTAATTCAGTTTTATTTCACTGAGTAAATACATTTAAAACAAATACATTTGGAAATTAGAAGTAAAAATTAAAAAAAAACCTTACATCCACCCTAAACAAGTCCTGAGTTTTTTTTTAAAACAGTAATTAGTCTTATTAATTATAATTATTGTGTTTTACTCTCTTATAACATAACATTGTAATGTTACAACATGTAAGAGGATCTTTTGAAGATTAAAAACTTTCCGATATTAGTCTAAGACACTGGTTATTAATTAGTTGTTTGTAATGATCCACTTGCATTAAAATAGTAAATACACAAGATACGAAGTATCTGAAATCTGAATCCGACATGGGTCCTCGCTATTTTTCAACGTGTCTTTGATCCCATTTTTTCTCTTTTTTCTTATTCAGTGGTGTTAGACACATACTAACGTAATACAAATAAAGTGTTTTCCTACTACTTATAGGAACCAGGACCATTTCGTACAGTGCACGGTAATTCAATAAACATTTAAGTTTTTCAATGAATAATATAATCTATACCCCATCATTAATCTGCCTTTTCTTAACAAATCAAACCAAGTTTTTGATCATGGTCTATTAACTTGGCACCGACATAACCTTGAGTTTTGGCCTCTTAATTTCAAAGTCCCGTTGAATCAGCATTGTGACATGGCAATTTTGAGCAGTGTCAACAGTTAATATAACATGAGAATTTTCAGAAATCCAACATGCATACAATTAATGCTTGTCGTCCTATAAATTATAGTATTATTCAATTACCATTACAATTTAATGTACATATTAGTATTTTAATTGACACTAGATGTTACTCAGAGGAAGAAGAAGGAGAAGAAATTCCTGCATGACATGAAAATCTTGCTCAGTACGGGTCCACTGCATTGGCTCTGAATATGTTGTTTGTTTGATCTCTGCTAAGATAATGTGAGCCTAATACACACTGATCCTTATGATAGCAGTGGACCATTCTATACACATTAATCTTTTCTCACAGTAGTGGGCCACAAGATAATTCTAATCAATAAGGTGGTTGATACTGAACAGTTTTTTATTTATTACTACAAGATTACATTAGGTCTAATTGGATATTACATTTAAATAAAGGTAAAGTGGTGGGTTCAAAATTTCATATCACATATCTAAAAGCTTGATACTCCTGAAAACGGGTCAAATTGGACACTTATTGTACTAAGGTGCATTTAAATAATCAAATTTAAGAAAAGATGGTGCAATGGTAGTAGGAATGGTGGAATTGACACGTTTAATAGCATTAAAATGGAAAGGCAGAGAACTAGCTGATCCTACAGCTCATCTCATCTATGACATTTAATTGATAGTACCCTTCTCTCTGTTGCCCACTGTGTGAAATATGAACTGCCTTTATCACGATGTCTCAAGTGTTACTCTAAAATTAAAAAGTGTTTTGTTATCTTAATTTTTAAGTATTTATAAATAATTTTTTTTATAAAAAATATATAATTATTGTATTAAAATTATAAAAATATAATAAATATTTTTTTAATAAAATTTTACTATTCTTAATTATTTATCTTTAACCTTAAGACTGAAGATAATAAAACTCAATTAAAAATTACTGTTTTATTAGTTTTTTTATGCCATACAAATAGTTAATTCATTAAAATTAATAAAAAATAATTTTATATCATAAGTTTATAGCATATATTTTTTAAAAAAATTATTTAGACAACATAAGATACATCAATCTCATAATCAATGGCCGAGATGCTATCAAAAGTAATGGTGGAGCTACCCATGCGTCATGCGTCATGCGTCATGCATTAAATTTCGTGGCAATTAATTTGGTCCCGTTCGAAAATTTCCCATCTTAAAATTGACACATGCTAACAGGTGTCTTTATAGTGTTTGTTAAAACTTTTCAAAATATATGTTTTTTAATTTTTTTTATAATACATCTTCAATTAAATTAATAATTTTTCAAGTATCATTAAATTTAAATGTTTTTACCAATTTTTTAAATATTTTTAAATAAGTAATTTAAAATGTATCATATGATCATTTTTAAATTAAAAAGGAATATATATATATATATATATAATATTTATTAACAATAATATTTTATTTTATTGGAATAAAATTAAATAAATGAATTTCAAATTAAAAAAATTATATTTTTGAAATTAATATTAAATTTAGAAAAAATAAATTCATAATGTAAAAGACACACTTGCCGTGACAAAAAAGGAACTAACTTTAAAAATATTCTCATTAAAAAAAATTTCTGAAAACGATTTTGTTAAAAAAATTAATAACCACAAATTATATATAAAAATTAATTATATAAATTAACACAAACAGTCAAAACTATTCTTTTTTATTTTTAAAATACTATAAATTAGTAAATTTTTCTTACTTAATATTATTAAATCAAATATACTATTAATATTTATTTTTAAATTTAAATTACCGCAAATTTTGATTTTTAAGAACAAATTAAAACAATAATAAATACTAAACCTTTGTAGACGGTGCTAAAAAAATGACAAATTAAAATTTTTGAGTAAATATACTAATAATATCATATCTCTAACTAGGTTACAAATTAATTTCATTATAGATATTAAAAGAGTGAATATACTCCATTAAGAACTGAACCTTGATATGCATGCTTTTTAAAAACTCACCTATCTACCATTTGTGACATTCTTTAAAAAAATTTAATATACCAAGTTTCATACGTTTTATTAGACGGTTCATCTAATATTTATTTAAAAACACGTATAAAAAGAATATTAAAAAATGATTTTTGCATTAAAAATAATTTTAAATATATTATTTTTGAGCAATTAAAATTTGTTAATAGAACATATTTAACGTTTATTAATTTCCATAAAAGCATATTAAAAATAGTATATATTAAATACATTTCAGTTAAAGAGTCGTAAATGCTACTAATAGAGGCTGGTCTAAGTGTTAAGCAACTTGAAATACCTTAAGTAAGGTCTTAAATTTAAGTCATTGTATAAGCAAAAAAAATTTAGTAATAAAATCATTCATTACATCTAAATGCGCAACTCGAGTTAGATCTGAATAAAATTTTTTAAAAAACAAAAAAAAATCATAAATGCTAATAAATATTAAAAAGTATTAGTTATTAGTCAATAATAAATAAATATTTATTATATAAAAATTTAAAATTTATTTATTATTTTTACATACTTTTTTGTTTTTTTTTTGTAACTTTTTTAAATAAGTTTATTTATTTGTCTATTCTAATTCCATTTGACATATAAGATAAGAGAATATAATGATATAATTTTTGTATCTTACTATTTTAAGTATTTATTTAATAAATAAAGTATGATAAGTATATTTTATGAGTTTGTTCTATTTACTTTTTATCAAAAGTTTGAGATAAAAATAAATAACATGATATTATTTAATCAAGCTTAGTATGCACTAAAGGTAAGATATAATAAAAACATATCTTATATTATTAACTTATCATGTTGTTATCTATTTTTTATATTGTATATTTATATATCTTATCTTATTCATTAAACATGCACTTAAATTTAGGATAAAATTAATTGTTATTTTTTAATTATGTCATTATCTTTATCAAATTCTTAAATATTTCCCACATGCTTATTTTAAAATAAGAAAGAAATAATGGTGGGTTCATATTAGAAAGTAAAAATTATTTTCAATATAAACGAAGATATTAACTGTATTCCTTACTTTATGTGTTACTTTTCACATTGGATAAGTAGAAAGAAATAATAAGAGCAATTTAAAAAAATTAATAAAATATATTTAGTGTTACTTAATTAATCAACCTTTGTAACCCTATTAGCAAAACCTTTTATAAAATGTTAACGAGTCACTTTATTAATGAATAGTTAAGTGTTTTAAGGACATTAAGTATGAAGTATTTAATACACTATATCAAATGCTTTTAATTACTTTAAAAAAATTTTATTTAAATATAATAATGATTTTTTTAGTAATTTTTGTTTTTCTTTTTCAATAAATAGTTAATATTTTTTTAAATTTCCAAACATATGATTTAAAAAAAAAAATCCTTATTTGAGTGTTTTAAAATGAAAATGATAATAAAATATCAGCTAAAAACTAATCATTAAGATTATTAATACAATTTGTTATAATTTTAATAAATTTATTCATTTATTAATCCTTCAATCAATATCCTTAAAAATTAAAAATACTTGTTACAGATGTTCTTAAAATTTAGCAAATTACCCACTTCTAGATTCTGACTAAGCTTAAAATAATTCCCCTATTAGGAAGCTAATTATTTATTTTGTTGTATAGGTGAACACTTCATATTTATATTTCCTTGGAGTACGGTACAGGGAACCACAATATAATGCTTAGAGTCTAGACACAAACTACTAGAAAATAGAGTCCAAGCACCTTATTTTTTAACTCCTTTTTCGGATCTTGAGGCATTTAGATCTGAGTTTAAACTATCACACACACACACACACACACACTTTTGTATCCAAAATGCACAGTGATGGTACCAACAATAATCACTCAGCTGAAATGTCCTTCAGAATTACTAAGGATGATAGGTTCTTCTCTAGGCTAATGGCCAAGGAAACATCCACTCCAAACTCTTCTTCAAGGATCTTCTACTATGGAGAAACATCAATTACAGTTCCATTCATGTGGGAGGAACAACCTGGTACCCCCAAACACCCTTTGTCGGATACATCTCTTCCACCTCTTACACGCCCTCCTTCTTATTTTTCATCTTCTAAGTCCAATAATGCCAAAAGAAGGAACTTAAAGACCAATGTTTTTTCAAGCATTTTGCCACGGTTTGGAGGCCCAAAAAAGTCTCATGTGTCACCACCATCATCTTGCTCACCATCTTCATCCTCATCTTCTTCATCTTCTTGGTCATTAGCTGATTATTCATTACCCTCATTCTCCATGAGAGACAAAGATCAAGAAGGTCAAGAAAGCAGCTCGTTCTCAGGCTCAAAATCTCTTTTCAAATATAAACGTGCCAATGGATTTAGAGGCTGCTATCCTTTTGGAATAGGAAAGAAATCAACTGTAAGCCATGGTGGAGATTGATTAATTAGTTTGATCTACTTAATTTTCTTGGAAATTAGTTATTCTGCATGATATCTAAATGTTAATTGTAGAGGTGTATTTTGGGAAATGTTAGTGTTGGACTTGGATGTCTCAAACATAATGATGTCATTTCTCGTGATGAAATAGTAACAATATGAATATGCTTCAAATTAGAATCTCCCCTCTTTCTTTTTTTTTTTTTTATCATTGTTGATTAGCGTTTTATAATTTCACTATTATTTTTTGTTTGGGTTGGTATAATTGAGTTTTTCTTCATCTTAAATTTTAAGTAATAAAATGATCTTTTTAATGTATCTACAATGAATAAATTGCTACACTGATCTAATTGATTTACAAAAATTGCTTTTGCCCCCCCATAAGTTAATTAACATACATTAATAATATAAAAAATAACATTATCATTTAATCATAAATTGCATGTCACATAATTAAATGTAATTAATTTTTATAATAATTAATTTAAATATTATATTTAAGTTACTTTTTGCTTAGTTGAAAGTTTGAAATTTTTATACTATATGCCAAAGTTAAACTGTTGTTTAATGTTGAAACCTTTTGTCTGTAATCATTGTTAAAGACCAAGTATAGAGTTCAGTCTTTAGGAGAAACGAAGTGCCCAATCTAAGTTCTTTGGTCTATCTAGAAATAAATTCTCTTGTAATTAAGATTTTACATGGCTTACTATGTAAAAAATTTATACTTACATTTATAGACATCAAATGTTATTTTCGTCTGTTTAATGCCTATGAAGAAAGACATAAATGGAAAATTCTTGCATGTCAAAATCATATAAATTGTAATGTGAAAGGATTAATTTCTTTATTTATTTTTCTTACCTTCCTTCCCCAAGAAGTATTATGGACTTAGCTTGTTCATGAGCTTGAAACACTATTTTATCATATTTTTAGAATTTTTTTTATTACTGAAAAATAAGCAAATGTCTATTTTAAAATTTATAGTGATTCTAGTCCTAGTAAAATTATCTGGATTATATCAATAACAATATAATAGGTATATTTTCCAAAAAAATAAAAGTATCTATAAATCTATAAAATAAAATAAAAATTATACCAAAGATAATTTCTCTCCAACTTTTTTCTATTTTTTTATTTTTTAGTGTATTTAAATAAAATTAATTTTTTATGTACATCTAATTTTAAAATTTATCATATAATTAAATCTAAAAAAAATAGAAGAGAAAATATGTTTCGTTAAATTTTTATAAATATTTTGAAAATCTAATTCAAATTTGAAAACAAAAAAAACTTATTTTTAATATTTTTTTGAAAATGAAAATATTTAAAAATAAAAAGAATGAAAATATAGTCACATTATTGTAAATATCATTTAGTTTTAATTAAATTTTATTATATTCACTTACTTATATTTTATACTTGATTTTTTTTTACTTAATTACGCGCTTTTCTTTATCTTTCTCTTGCTTAAGTACTAGTTGTAGATAATTTTTCTTTTTTTCCTTCTCTTATTTCTTTTTTCTTTTTATTCTTCCATAATTTTTTTTAAATACAGTGATAAATTTTATTATTTTTACCATTTTTCTAAAACTGAGTATGTATTTTTTGTCTTTATTATTTTTTTAATTTTTGTATCATTAAAATTTTTATGAATATTATTATTTTTGATATCTCGATATTTGAGCTTTTCAATTTTGTATAATATAGATGTTATCTTCTTTGCATGAGTCTTGTAAATATGATAATTGTGTTGATTGATTTATATATGTAAAGTATATTGATTAGTAAAATTTGTAAAAAATAAAAAAATTATTTTTAATATTAATAAAACCTTGTTTGAAGGAAGACTCTGTTATTAATATAAATTAATAAATAAATTTTAAAAATTTATATTTATAATTTTTTTATTTTTTATCATTACAATTATAGTTGCTATTTAAAATATTTTATATATTTATATTTTAATAATAATTTTTAAAACATAGAAATACACACACACACATATATATATATATATATATATATATTGTTAGAATATTTATAATTAAATAAATAAAATTGAAAAGAGTACAATTTTTTTTTAAATTCTTAAATTTATTTTTATTAAAACTAATAGATATATACAGTATTAATGAATTTATATTAAAAAAAATTGTCTACAATCTAAATTATAATTATATTTATATATTTTTTTATTATTTTTTAGTCTTAAAACACAATAATGATAATATTTAAATTTATTAAATAAACAATGCAATAGAATTTACATCAGTAAGAATATATATTATAAAATTCATATTATGAAAATTGTTTAGCAATAAATATTAGTAGTTAATTTTAAACTTTATAAAAAATAAATAAATTTATTATAAAAAAATTAAATCAAACACATTTTCAATATTTTTGTTTTTAAAAACAGAAAATAAAAATTAAAACTAGACATATTTTTTAAATCTTGAAAATTTAAACATAAAAATAATTTAAAATAAAATAAAATAAAAAATGAAACATTTTCTTGAAACCAAACATGCCATTAATTTCTACGTGGAAGCACCTGTTATCAATCAATTATAAAAATTAGAGAGAAGTTTGTTTAATTAAACATTTAATCAAATCTATTCACATGCAGCATACGAAGGGAAGTTTCCTGTTTCACCACATCGTGTCCTAAGCGCACAGTGTGGGGTTGGTGTGAGATGGGTTTGAGAATATTAAATAGATATGAATACAGTATAAGAAAACAAATTAAAATCGAAATTAGTGCACCATCTATAATTTATTAATTAATGTCTTGGTTAAAAAATTAACACATATTTTTTATGTCAAAATATGTTAAAAATTATAAAGTGCATTATTTAATTTTTAAATCATTTTAAACTAATGTCGCAAGATACTAATTAACATTTATCTTAATATAAATAATATATTTTAGGCTTTGTTTAAAAATAAAAAAATTGAAAAAAAACAGAAAAAAGAAAAATTAATAAAAAAATTTAAAATATAAATATACAAAAATTTTAAATTGTAATAAGATCATTAGTGGGTCAAAATCTGTTGGCACCATTTAGGAAGTTTCCAAGCAAAAGGAATGCGTTTAATGAGACGAGGACCATTATCAATTGCTGGACAATGATTTCTGCCATTAAAGTGACAAAGAAAAAGGAACCAATAATTTTTGTTAGATGCCACATGCTTCACAGTGGCTTTTCAACTTTCCAAGGTATCGTACTGTGATCTGACCACCCCATTGAAGAAATTTTACGTAATCTAAACCAATCATATGTTATAATAATATGTGTATTAATTTTATAATTTATAAAAAAAGGTTAATACATTTTCAAAGTATAATCGATTATAATTTACTTCTTTGCTTTTTAGTGCACGAAGCTTTGTCACTTTTTATAATAAGTTGTTTTATTGTTTTAAATATTTATATCTTTGTCCATAGTAACTTGTTTAAGGGTGTATAAAAATAGTGGTGAAATTAAATTTTCACAGCCAACTCTTAAAGATGGCAAGGGTCAACGAAAATAAAAACACCATCAAATATAATTTGTAAAAACATTATTGAATATTATTTCTTTCAAAATTTCTACTTTCCACCCTTCCTACTATGGTCTTAAACTCTCGTGAATAGAAATATTATAAAATATGTTAATTTAAAAATGAGACTTATATATTTTTTAATAAATTATAATTAATAATTAATAATTAAGAGTGTTTTATAGATATTTTAAAATATTTCTGAGCTGGTGCTCCTTGAATAACCGACAAAAAAATAGCCAGCATTGCAGCAAGGAATATTTTTTATTAATAAAAATTAAATAGGCAAGAAATGATAATAATTAATAAGCTTCTAGTTTTTGTAATATTCCTGGGGTAGGACAAGAGATTACTTAGAATATAATTTTGCAAAATTTTAAAAATATGCTCATAACATAATTTGAAGAATCCTGTTTGAACATTCTATTTTATTTTCCCTAGATCAGGTGTATCTTTTGCTCAAAGCAGAACGGTAAAACAACGTAATTTTTTTTAAATTTATGTAATAAGACTTAAAACCCTGAATTAAACATAAAAATTATAATTAACAACATTAAAATAAATAAAATTTAGAAATATTTAAACACGAATTGAAAGATGCTATAAAATTAGGCTAATACTAAGTTGCAACTAGGAGCGTTAAATTAAACATGAACTGTAGATAAACATTCTTGCCCTTGAACTCAAATCACAAGGCTTTGCCAGCAACGGTTTTGACTGGAAATTCAGGTGGCAGAAGCTCCATGTCTCACTTCCATCCCTCAAAAGGTAAGAATTGAGACATCACTTCAATTTTCTTTGTAAAATTTTGTCCTCATACGTGTTGATATGTGAACTGTTGCAGCTGTGTTATTATTGCATGTCATTGCTTTGTTCGTTGTTTCAAATTCGGCCTATGCTTCAAGCCTTAATAATGGCACAAAAGGACACACAAAAAACAGAGATGAGGTAATATTTGCCCATAATGGAGCTGTTGCCACTGATGATGGTAGATGTTCGAGGATTGGGATGGATGTTCTGCGTGAAGGAGGGCATGCTGTGGATGCAGCTGTGGCTGCTGCTCTGTGTGTGGGTGTTGTGAGTCCAGCTTCAAGTGGCCTTGGTGGTGGAGCCTTCATGCTTCTCAGGTTAGCTAATGGTGTGGCAAAGGCCTTTGATATGAGAGAAACTGCTCCTGCTCTTGCTTCCAAGGTACCTTCCCAACTCTTAATCTTCTAAACCATGATGGATTATTCCTCTGCATATAATGTCCATTGATGATTTTCTTATAAGATATTGAGCAAAAGAAAAATACAGAGAGGTGTAATATCTCTCGTATTGGTTAAGAATATGATCAGAATATTTGTGTAAGGTGCAGGCTTCCTTTTTTGAGTGAACTTTTGAGACTGAATTATGCCAAGTTTGTTTCAAACCTATCTACTTTTAGTACAGGATCACTTATAGATATTCAATCTCTTGCACAAATTTTCTTGAACTAAATTTTTTTAGTGAGTTAGGCTTAGTTTGTTTTTAATATGATATCAAAGTCTATTTACTCATATGTTGGATCACCTATAGATGTTAAGTTCCTTAGACATTCCTTCTTCCTTGAACTAGTTTTTGAGAGTGAATCAAACCCAGTTTGTTTTCAATAAAAACTTCGAAATTATTCAAAATAGACAACAAATATGTAAGCTGGCAACACTACTTTGAAGGCCATTTTTGTGTGAGGTGTGATATATCCATTTTTCCAGAATATGTATGCTAGTAACACTACTTTGAAGGCCATAGGGAGCCTCTCTGTGGCAGTCCCTGGGGAACTTGCTGGGCTTCATGAGGCGTGGAAACAACATGGGAAGCTTCCATGGAAAAGACTTGTAAAGCCAGCTGAGATTCTTGCACGTGGAGGATTTAAGATATCTCCATTCCTCCACATGCAAATGGAACGAACAGAGTCAGATATATTGAATGATCAGGGTCTTCGTAGTGTATTTGCACCAAATGGAGAAATATTGAAGATAGGTGACATATGCTACAATAAGAAACTAGCTGACACTCTCAGAACAATATCCATGTTTAGTCCACAAGCCTTCTACGATGGGTTGATTGGCCTTAATTTAGTTAAAGATGTTCAGAATGCTGGAGGAATATTGACTATGAAAGACCTCAAAAGTTACAATGTTAAGCAGAAGGAACCAATATCTATAGATGTTCTTGGACTAAAGATCCTTGGCATGCCTCCTCCTTCAGGTGGGTCTTCAATGATGCTAGTAAGTCTATCTGATTAAACTACATAGTAGCATTAGGTGTTCCTGTTAATTTTTTTTCTTTATAGATTTCTTATCATTAGCAAATTAAAGAACTTAGCCAATCTTATACTTGGTTACAGCTGCTGAATATTCTAGATCAATATGAGCTCCCTTCAGGACTTTCTGGTGCCCTTGGAGTTCATCGAGAAATTGAAGCTTTGAAACATGTGTTTGCTGTGAGAATGAATCTTGGTGATCCTGATTTTGTAAATGTAACTGGGGTTCTTTCTGATATGCTATCTCGTAGGTTTGCTAAAATATTGAAAAACGACATCAGTGATAATAAGACTTTTGGCCCCAGTCATTATGGTGGCAGGTAAGCTCCTAAGTTCATTGAATTTCCCTCAAAATTTAATAATGGAGTTGTGTCCATAGAGCTTCTTTGATCAAACATAACTTGCGTGTCTCCTCAATAAACTAGAGTTGTTAGTTAGATGCCTTTTCTAAAAGATTCGTTGAATTCATTTTCATGATCAATTGGTATCAGGATATAGTCAACTTGGAGTATAAAAGAAATATATCTTGATTGACTGCTCTAGTGCCTATCACTGGTTAATAAAGGTTTTAGGGATTTGGTCAACCTGATTATGCTGTTAGTGTCTATCTAGAGTTGTATTGTTTTTGTTAAAATATATTTTTTATCCTCAAATGTGGCCCTGATTTTGATTTAATTCATATTTAATTTAGTATTTATATGTAAAACAAAGTAAAGTCTCGGGGATAAGCTGAAAATAAGTGTCACATATAACAATAATAAATACTATATTTTCTTATAAATGGTACTTAAGTTTTTAATCATTATGTCTATACAGAATACATGATAACACATGACAGGAAGGAATTGATGTTGAAAATTATTCTTATGCATGGATACTAAATTGAATAACATTTTATATGCTTAAAAGATCAAATTAAAAATAAGGTGTAAAATTATATTTATAAATACTAAAATTATTTCCCTTAGCTTGGATGTAGTGTAGTTTTTCTGCTGATTGGAGTGGCAATACAGAATTCTCAGCTGTGCTGAACTGTCTTTGCCTCTTTACAGGTGGAATCAAATCCATGATCATGGTACAAGTCATATAAGCGTAATAGATCATGAGCGAAATGCCATTTCCATGACTACCACAGTAAATGCATATTTTGGTTCAAAGATCCTTTCACCAAGCACAGGAATAGTATTGAACAATGAGATGGATGATTTTTCCATGCCTAAAAATGTTTCCAAAGATGTTCCACCACCAGCTCCTGCCAATTTCATCATGCCAGGGAAGCGGCCACTATCATCTATGTCACCCACTATTGCCCTTAAGGTAATCAATTCTTTACTTCTTAAATTGGGTTATCATGTTCCACTTTGTAAAAGAATTTTAATTAATGATTGATATCAAGAGAGAATTTTAGTAAACAATACAATCACTGTTAAGGCTTATCATGCATATAATAAAGTCTTGTTTACTTGCATTGTTTACTTGCAATAACTGCCGACACAGGATGGGAAACTGAAAGCTGTAGTAGGTGCAAGTGGAGGAGCTATGATCATTGCTGGGACTTCAGAGGTTCTTTTGAATCACTTTATCAAAGGAATGGATCCTTTTTCTTCTGTAACGGCTCCAAGAGTCTACCATCAGGTATAGTATCTTATGGTAAATAATATATCAAAAAATTTAGTTTTTGACTGAGTTCAATGACATCGAGTGGTCTAAATAACCAACCTTAAATATACCTTAGTGTTGTTGTATGTGTTTTTCGCATCTGTTTGATAAGATCTGATATGCACAAACTAAGAAGAGAGCAACAAATATATAATAAATGAAAGCTCTAAAGCCAAGGAAAATGTTACTAAAGCTCATCAGAATTTAAGACTTCTAACTTGAATTTCGCCTTTATTTAGCTATTTTTATTTTGATAATTTTCTCTTTTGTGATTGTGAGGCAATGCATATCTCAACCTATCCATTAATAACTAATTGAGAAACTGCACGTTTTTTGTGCAGCTAATACCGAATGTGGTTAATTATGAGAATTGGACAACTGTTATCGGTGACCATTTTGAACTTCCTGCTGATATCAGGGAAGCCCTTAGAAGTAAGGGTCATGTCCTACAGGGCCTAGCTGGTGGGACTATTTGCCAATTTATTGTTGTAGACATTTTTAAGCCTTCCAGAAAAAATAAAGGGACTGCAAATGGAAAGCTTGTGGCAGTGAGTGATCCAAGAAAGGGTGGTTTTCCTGCAGGCTTTTGAGATAAATTAGTAATTCATTGATATTGTTACCACTTCATTTCATATCTACAAGTTTTCTCTTTTTTATGCCTCTTCTACTTGTGCAACTGGTAGTTGTATGTTTAATAATGGGAATAAAAATCCAAAATTTTGCTTCTGGATATCTCAAGTTGTGCATAGCTTGTTTGGTGTACTTGCTTTCCATCCCTTTACAAAAATAAAATAATGCATCCCCTTTGTAAATCATTGATCTGGAAAACCGTTAATTATTCATCGATTTGCCAAATTTGAGTTTTTAATTTTATTTTATTGTTGTTGTGATATTTAGTATTTCAATTCTAATATCCCCCACATGCAAGTTATTCGTGCTGAATCGATATGATCCACTAACTCAGTACTGAATCATTCCTTTCTCTATTTTCAACTGAACAATGCCTAATGTGTAGGGCCAATCAATGAAGTATTCACTAATAAGAAAACTTATCTCTTGGAATCTCTGAAGTAGTAGTTAAGACAGCTTGATCTCATGACTCATAAGTCACAAACACAATCTCCCAATTTATTTTCGGTGTTTAGGACTATATGTGAATCTGCCATAGCTGCTACAAACTTTCTTCTTGTTACTTGATTATTGATATATATTTTAAAGCTATATCGATAAGAGGTTTCCTTTTATTCAAATAATTCCCTTTAATATGCCAAGAAAATAACGAGTGTATTTGATAAAACTAACAAATAACTTGTTGAAAGCTGAAATATTAGCTAAAAGATAAAAATTTAAAAAAAAATGAAAAGTCAGTTCGAAAGTATTTGATAAAACTAATTACTGAACTACCTAATAAATATAAAATGACAAATAATGTTGTCATTACTTACTATAGCAAAATTTTAAATTTAGAAATTATATGTGTTTGAATAATTAATATTTTTATATTTTAATTCATTTAAAATAATCTATTATCTTAAAATTTAGGATAATAATTTTTAATTATACTCTCATTTAACAATATTTTTATTAAATAAAGTGAGATAACAAAAAAAGACATTTTCACTTAATAGCTGAAAATTAGCATATTTAAAAAAAAATACTTATTTTAATTACTTTATTAATCATGATTATTTCTATTTAAATATTTTAGCTAATAGAAAAGCATTCTTAAAGACATTCATAGAAGACAAAGTATCCTTGCCCTCTTTTAGAAAATTATTTGAAGATGAGGACAATGGTTTTAGTTGGGCGATCATTAGAGTCTTATATTGATGTTTTTATAATAAAATGGGATGATGGATTGTGTAATTAAAGCAATCAAGTGGGGAATAAAAGGGCAATAAAACCACATTATTCAGTCTACCTTTTTCTTTTTGAGTCTTTGCACAATCATTACCGGAAAACATTATTGAATTTAATAGATGACATAAAAAAAACAATTAAAATTTGATAATTATTTATTACATTACTTAAATAAGATAAATTATAGCGTATCTAATCCACACACTCAATTAACAAGAAGATTCCACATCAAATATTCCTAAGCATTGACATGCAAAACATTACAAAACGGATGAATTTGAGTTTCAGCACAAAGGTTTAGTCTCTACTGAAAGTGGATTAACCATGTTGATGCAAGGGATGATGAAGAGAAGCATTGGGTTGTGTAAGAGGCTTTGTGTCAGTAAGGTTTCTTCTTCGTGTTTCAGTACTTCAGCTGCAACTACTGATAATGATATTGCTGGTAGGCGTCAGCTTCCACCATTTGATTACAAGCCTAAGCCATACGAAGGACCTTTGGCTGATGAAGTTTTTGCCAAACGGAAGAAGTTCTTGGGTCCTTCGTTGTTCCACTATTATCAAAAACCTGTGAGTTTTATGATCAGCTTTCTCTCTTTTCCCTTAATTTTTTTTTTTTCTGAAAGTCGAATCAAAGAAATAAACTAGTTGTAATGTCATGTGAAAATGTAATAATCATGTTAATATGGTCACAGACATTGGCAAGTAAATTTAATAAATAAAATATACTTTAAGAAATTAAGAAAAAGTTAGTTGAAAAACTAGTGATAATAAATAATATTAACTCAGTTTAAGTAAGTTTTTACATAAATACGTATAAAAAAAGTTAATATAAAAAAAATAAAACTTTGTTTATAAGTTAAAAATAATTTATATTTTTTTAATTTTTTAAAAAACTAAATGAATTTTTTTAAAAATAAAAAAATTAATTTAAGAAGAAATTTTATTTATTTTACTACTTAATTTTAAATTTTATAAGTATTTATTAAAAAAATTATCCAAATAAAGTACTCTTGGTTTACATTTATTTGAGAGAAAAAAGAAAAGAAAGAGAAAGTAAACTAGATGTCTGCTAATCTTATTTTTATTATCTTAAAATGAGTAATGTAAGAAAAAAAAAGTGTATAAATCATATTATTGTTTTTTATCATTTTGGAAAATCTTCCTTGATATTTGTGAATTTTTCTTGAGAACTGTGCTCTAACTCAAAATTTAATCCTGTATATAGCTCAACATTGTGGAGGGCAAGATGCAATATCTATTTGATGAGAATGGAAGGCGTTATCTTGATGCTTTTGCTGGTATAGTTACTATTTCTTGTGGACATTGCCACCCTGAAGTTTTGAATGCTACAATGGAGCAAAGTAAACTCCTACAGCATACAACAACCATATATCTTCATCATGCAATAACTGATTTTGCAGAGGCCTTGGCATCCAAAATGCCTGGAAACCTTAAGGTCAATTTTTTCTACACAAATTGTGTTTTAGTTATTATATCCAAATAAGGCCTTGGGATCCTTTCCGCTTAAAATTTCCATTGGTGAAAAGCAACAGTCAATTTTATTATGTGCTAAATTTCATTCAATAAGGAACATGATCTTCAACTATACAATTTGAATTGCAGGTTGTTTATTTTGTGAATTCTGGTTCAGAGGCAAATGACTTAGCGATGCTGATGGCACGTTTATACACTGGTAATATTGGTATGATTTCTTTGAGGAATGGATATCATGGGGGGAGTTCTAGTACAATTGGGCTCACTGCTCTGAACACTTGGAAATACCCAATACCTGAGGTTTGTCCACACCTACAAGCCCATATCATATGTGGGCCCAAAAGGAGAAAAAGAAAAACATGTGTATATCAATAGAGTATATAGATATTATACTTACTATGGCATTCTAATCTTTGCTTTTCCACTTAGTATATTATTTCCCCCTTTCTTTGTTCTTTTCAATGATATCAATTTTGGTCATAATTTTATTTTCTTGTGATCCTGCAAACCAGTACTTTTGAGAGCCCTAACTAGAGAAATCATTAAATATAAAATATTATTATACAATATAGTAGGATGTGTTATGATTATTTGGAAAAGCATGAAATTTTGTTACTCAAATTCTTAGTCATAATTGATTTTCTTTAGTTTTTTAGTAAGGAGTTACCAATCCAACAATGGAAATACATATGCAAGTGCCCACTCCATACTACTCTAGCTGTAATCATAGGAATGTGAATGATATATTAATTTTATACTGAATATGGTGAAGTGGTAATTGTTTTTTAAAACATTTTAAATCTTTCAGGGCGAAATTCATCATGTCATGAATCCAGATCCATACCGAGGAATCTTTGGTTCAGATGCTAAAAGTTACACCAAAGACTTGCAAGACCATATTGACTATGGAACTTCAGGAAAAGTTGCTGGATTTATAGCTGAAACAATTCAGGTAGTAAATCCATCATATTAAATATATATATAGCCCCACCTTAGTCCTTTTTTTTTTGTATTTACTTTTTTCTCATGGCTTCTTCTAGGGAGCTGGAGGAGCAGTTGAACTAGCACCCGGGTACCTAAAACTGGTCTATGACATTATACATAATGCTGGTGGTGTTTGCATTGCTGATGAAGTTCAATGTGGATTTGGGCGCACAGGAAATTATTGGGGATTTGAGACTCAAGGTGTCATTCCTGACATAGTTACCATGGCTAAGGTCTAGACCCTCTTCTTATCTTATAAAGTTTTAACTTATTCTTAGAGACCTTTACACCTTAATCATGCATTTGAAGTGCAACATTAGTTTTTATGAGGTTCATTATTTATGTGTATAGGATGATGCATATAAGATGAGAGCATTTCTCATTCAGGAGCTAATCTTGATTATATAACCATAAATAAATAACTAAGATTAGGTTTAAATAAAATAATCTTAACCATCACTATATAATTTGTTTCCATTGTTAATATGCTTCAGGGTATTGGCAATGGTTTGCCACTAGCAGCTGTAGTTACAACTTCAGAAATAGCAAGTGTGATGGCCCAAAAGTATCAATTCAATACTTTTGGTGGGAACCCTGTGTGTTGTGCTGGGGGAATTGCAGTGCTCAGGGTTCTTGACAAGGAGAAGCGTCAATCTCATTGTGCTGATGTTGGTTCTCACTTGATTAAGCGTTTAAGATCACTAATGCAAGTACATGACAGTAGGTTATGATACATTTGCCTTTTCTAGTTATTTATTTGCACTCACTTTTTCTAGCTATCTATATGAGTTGGGGTGGCTTAAGTGCTCAACTTGGATTAGGGATTGTTTATGATGTTACTATAATATTTTTGTATTATTCTAATAGTTTTTATATGCTATGCCAGTCATTGGAGATATTAGAGGAAGAGGCTTAATGGTGGGGATAGAGTTTGTCACTGATAGAAAAGAGAAGACACCTGCAAAGGCTGAAACCACGGTTTTGCATGAAAGATTTAGAGGTAAAAAAAGAAAGAAATTTGGGTGAATAAAAAGAAAAAAAAAAATAGAATCATATCTTGCATATGAGGCTTTAAAACTTCTTCCAAATATAGTAATTGTTTACTTTTATAAATTGAAGAGCTTGGTATTCTAGTTGGGAAAGGAGGGCTGCATGGAAATGTTTTTAGGATTAAGCCACCAATGTGTTTCACCAAAGAAGATGCAGGTACATAAATAATTATCATGACTCTCTTTAACTAAGTTGTGGAGTTCTGGACTCTTTTCTTTAAGTCCATTGATTGACTGGCCTCTTGTTGTGCAGATTTTGTTGTGGATGCCTTGGACTATGCTTTATCCAAGTTGTGAGATTCTGCATAGAATCAAGATGATGAATCTTGCTAGTTACTCGAGGATCATTGGACTACTTTGCTATAAGGAAGTAAAGCTTACAAAATTATGTATTTCGCACACACTGAATGTGTGTGTGTTCTATTGCTGTTGTGTATTTCACATAGTACGAATAACAATCCAATTCTCCCCTCATTGCAATGTAAATTTCCTTCTTGACATTAAATGTAAACTGGTGTGTAAGTTTGGTTTCAAGAAATTAGTATAATATAAAATTAAAACGTAACTGTCACTGGCAGTAGTTGCAAAACCTTACCGCACAAAAAATTTACCTCTCAAGCATCCATCGAAGAAATATGAAATAATTATGATGAATATTATTCAGGAATATCATCACATTAAATAAATTGTGCCGGAAAAGAGAGTTTAGAGTCTATTCATTTTCAAAAACACACAACTACATAATATTATACACATTTTACATGACCAACTTCCACATGCTCATGGCAGATTCTAAATATTTCATTTTGCAACCATCCAATATATACCACCGCGTCCAAAATTAATTTATTTACAAACTCTTATGCATAAAATGGGCAGTCATATTTACAACTTCTCCATAACGCAAAATTGCAGGAAAAATGTGAGCAATCTAGACCACACATGATACATGGTTTTGATGCTCTTGGTCAAAGAAACTGACCCATGTTCATCACATCACATTCATGTTACAAGTTTGCGCTCTTATAATCTTGTTGCAAGTCTAAGCAGGTTCGCGGGGTCTATTAGACCAAAGTGTGCTCAAAGTCCTTAGGCGTTGGAAATATTCTCCCAAAGCAAGTAAGCATCGTGCTGCCTGACGTGTCGTAAGAATTCGAGACATTTGCTGCAAAGTTTCTTGGCGAAGATGATCAGCCTGTTTTACATAAAACACAGTAAAAATCTCTAATAGCCATTAGCCAAGATAAAATGGTTTTGAAGTGGTAAATTGGTCATGTATATGGCAGTTAATGATCCTCAAAGATGTTTATGTTTTAATGTATCATTCATTATTACAATATTAACCATACTACATGATTGAAAAAAAATAATTGTAATTTATGATCCTACTTCTATATTAGATAGGCATCCTCAGTGATCTACCTAAATGCTAAATGGGAAGTTCGTAACAATGAAGCTTAATAAAAATTTGCTATACTAAATTTAGAATGAATGACTATCCAGAAAATGGGGCATATTACCTGGTTCACAAAGCTCACGAGAGCTTCCAACTTCTCCTTTGCAATAGTCATTTGTTGACTATAAGTTCCTTCCATGAATTGTCCAGCAGCTACACTATCAGCTAGTGTTTGGCGGAGTTTGTCCATACCTTGTGAAAGGGCATCCTCTGCTTGCTGACATGATTGTCCAAGGTTATAGATATCCAACCGTTGTTGCTCCGTTAATGGTTCAATCAAGGGACCAAGAACCTACAATTGAAATATACTGTAGTGTCAGCATGCACAATACATTACAAGCTTACATCATGCCATAGGTGAATATGGCAAGAGATATAATCTAAAGTTAATCAAGTTTCTCAGTAAAGCCCTTTTGAAAATTTGAAATTTAGATATGGAGGTGCAATTCTTGATCAAGGCAAGAATTACAAAAAGCATTCCAATAGTTGTTGCCTAATGTAAATGAATGCGGTTTCAAATTTCTCCTATTCTATCTCTCAAGAAGAGAGTAGAGGAAGTTATTAATAAAAGCCCAATGATAACTAGAAACTCCATAAAGACAGTGACAGTTATATATACACATTCAATGAATAACATTTTCAACTTCTTTCATTTATTCAATATGAACATCACCTTAAGAAGCTCAGAGGGGCGAAAACCTCCTATCCATAAGAAAAATCTTTCAGCTGTTGTTTTCCACATACCGGACATAACATAGAAAACATCTGCTTTTGCAGCAGCAGATTTCATGCGAAATATTTCAGCATAGTGGTTCATCATACCATCTACCAAAATCCTGAGCTCCATGTCACCAATATGAGCATTCAAAGCATTTCTCAGTTCTGAGATTTGTCTAGTTTGCTCATTCACCCAATGTCCATACTCCATCTCAAAGGTTGTAATTCCTACAAATACAATATTGTTAGAATGCAAGAACTAATTGGAAAATAAAATACAGTGCAAGAAAAAGATACATACTAGTGGAAACCTAAGAACAATATTACATAAACCAAAATGAACTATGTTAAGCTTAAATGGCACCATGAAAATTTCAAACAATTCAAGAGTTGCAATGCCAATAAGATTATACCTAACCTAAGGTTAATATAAAACAGCTCCAAGGCTTTTTAAAACTTCCTACCACTTTCTGGATATTTGGTAGAAAAGAATGAATTACAGTTCCAAAATTGGTTATGATCTGAAACCAAAACGATGCCATGAGACTAGGAGAAATGCAAAAAAAAGATTTTAGATATCCACTATTTAAGAGATTTAAGCACAGTTGAAAGCATTAAGTTACCAAGACAAGACACAAAAACTAAAGTGCAATACAAATGAATATCTAGCAACAGTAGCACAATAAAAAATCAACCTGAATTTACAGATCCAGCAAAACCCAGATGATTAGAATCCAACCCACCTCCTATATACATTCCCTGCAGTTTTGTTGCCTCAAAATATTAGAGAGGGAAAGGAAGGAAGATGTTGATCAACGTAATTTGATCCACAAGAGAAACTATAAGTATATTAATTCATCTTCCCCGCACCTGTTGTCTTGCACGTTCAAGCTCTTGCTCCAACTGCATCAACTTCAAACGACTTGATTCTAATTGCTGCACATATGCCTGTTAGGCAATATCAGAAAGCAGATGAGCGTTAGTACAACTAAACACTAATTTCATGTCTGAAAAACTATCAATGTGTAAACATTCAAACCTTTTTCCGCAAACGGCTCTTACGAGCAGCCTCTCGATTTTGTGCAAGACGTCTTTGTATCTGCATGTATCATCATATGAGATTCCTATATGCTTCCACCATACATATATATAGGCATAAAAAGAGTACGAATGCATGTCACGCATCCAAAATTTGGAAGCATGGAATTTCTTAATTTGCATTGGATACAAAAAATTCCTTCTGTCCAAAACAACAAGTTTAACACATTTTTCATTGTCCCTCTAAATGTATACATAGAGCTAAAGATGGAGGGGAAAGAAAATTGAAAAGGCTGTAATTGACCATGCCAAAACATTCCCAATGACTCTATCCGTATGTTTAAATGGTTGAATGCAACCGTCACATTATTATGATTATACAACACCACCATATGAATGAACTTTGAAACTTCAAACTGACAATATACTAATAATAGAATTAGGTACTAAACAAATTTCCATTTAAAGAAACTTGAAATTGTAAAGGTGAAAAATATCTACATGTACATTTACAAGCAATTTGGGGTGACTATTTGAGTTCCCGACTAGGAGTTTAATTTAATAAAATACTACTAAGAATAACCCTTCTTTCTTTTCTGCTATTTGGGGGGAAGGTAGGGGCATATAGGCAATGGATTTCCATAACATGCTCTTACCTTTTCATTAGGCTTATTAGCTTCTTGGTCATACTTGTTAGGTGTTCCCAGTATACCATGAGAAGCATCCTCTGACTAGGTATTACACGGCATAAACAAATTTGGTTAGTAGGAAGAATAGGCAATCTCATTTCCAAATGAAACAAAGCACAAACTTTGTAAACTTGCACCTGACTATCCAATTTCATGTCTGCCTCATCAATTAATGGTATGGCTGCTCCTAAATTACCATTAGTTTTGAAGCTCTCTCCCCACATACTAATCTGATGAATAGGATCGTAGACACTCATCCTTCTTGAGGAAACAAACTGTGGAGATGGTGAATTCATGCTCTATGGTCTATGGACTAATCAGTGCTGCAACTCAATCAGCTTTCAACACATACCTACATACCAAACTGCTGTTAAGGACTCAAAAGAATCAAGCAGAGGGATCATGTAATTGTCATTGTGTCAACTTTTATGGTACTATAAGAGAAACAAAGAGTAAAATTCCTTAATTTAATAGCTAACAATCCATGTTAAACAAATAGAAACTATGATCTCAAGAAAAACCAGATGGCAAAAGCCTTGTGCCATACACAAGCAAAAGAGAAGCACAAAAGAAAAAGCATAATTCTTTGAACTCCTCCATCGCAAACCACGCCTATGCAACAGATTCTATAGTACGATTTTCCCACCCAATCAGACAACAAACCAAGTCATCATCTTTTGCTTACATAGTAACACAAAACCAAATCCTAAATAGACCCTTTTTTTTCCTTTTTCCAAAGACAGAAAAAGTAGTAACAACAACAGCCAGAAGAAAGTACCGGTAATCATAGAGTTCAAAACAAAGACAAAGGCATCTATCTATTGATGACATAATATTTAGTTGGCAAACAAGTACAACAAAGTTAATTTCTCAGTACCAATTCCCTTCCTCGTTTTCCTCGACGTTTATAGAATTATCCATAAAAATAAAAATAAAAAATTGAAAAATAAAAAGGACAGTAATAAAAAAAAAAGGGGGTAAACTTAGAAAGGTACTTCGAGTGTGTGGTGTTTTTTTCCCGCTCAAATCTTCATGCCAACATGGCAATCGGTGACACAGAAGCTCAGAAGGTAAGACCCTTCCATTCCATCATTGCATTTGTTCAGAAGATGACGGCTTCAAAGAGAGCCTCGAACTTCAATTTTCATTTATATAATAAAAAAATGGAAACATAGCCCACCATTTTTAAATGGGTCATTATTTATTTATGTATACAAAAATTAAAATAAAAAATATAATGGAGTTGTGCTTTGTTATTGGAGAGTGGAACCTGTATTTTTGTGCGTGTTGTTGTTGCTTGCTTGTGTTCAGCTACAGAGAGTCAAATGTATTTCACAATAAGCTAAGCCAAGTGTCGCTGTCATCGTCACGTTTCCACTATCGCTAATGTGCGCACCAGGTAGACCACGACTCTCTTCCCTTCACTGTTTCACCTTCACCGGAATATACCTCCCCGCCGGCGATGTTACATAATATTTTTATTATTATTTTTCTTAATATGTAGAATATTGTATAACATAAGAAGTTATTAATAGTAATATTTATTAAAATTTAGAATGAGCCGTTTTATCAATTATTATACCATCATTCATCATTTCATATTCAATTGGTTTTTATTTAATTATTTATGCTGAGGAAGTTCTTACTTCTTTAAGTTACAATATATATAACCTTCTGTCATCATCATCAAACATCAACCGTGAAATTATATATAACCTTTTGTCAAATGATAACTTAAGTAGAATGCAGTAACTAACACGGCACCTGCAATATTAGAAAGTCAAGAAATTCATGAGTTTTATATGATTAATTGAGGTGGGGTGAAGTGTACAGAGTAGAAGAGGACATTAGACCTTAACACAAGAATGAACAAAACCTAATCATTTCAACATTTTTTTTTTCATATCTTACATTGCATACATACTCCAACATTTGGCTGTTATCATATATCACTTTTCATGGTATAAAAATTATTAACAAAATAAGATGGATATGCACGGATGCTTTCGTAGTGTTGTTATTACTATTAATAAATTCAAAAATTTGGGTAGATGAAGATCCTTACATGAGAATTGGATGATTCTTACGTCTCTGTTAGATATTTGTTAGACTAAGGAATTCGAATAATGAAGATTTTCGAAATGCAGATTACTTCTATTAGGCTAAGCTTCTGATTCGACGCATCCTACTCTTCTTTTTCAACCATTGACCTGACCCCCCACGATAAATATACCAAAAGCATTTGTGCCTTATTAATCAAAGCATTAAATGCAAGTATCTAATGACATTATTTGATGCACCCTATGTATAATATTTAATGTTTATTAATATCTTATCACATCATTGTTTATTATCATATACTCTTTTAGTAATTAAAGTCCAAAATAATGAATACCATTGAACTCATGGAGCTTTACTGTCTTTGATGGTCTGTGTTTTCTATTTTTATGTCTTTTATTTATAAATTATTAAAATAAAAATGTTTGTAAGCAATGTTTTTTTTCTTGTGAATAATTGTTTCATATTTAATATATTTACATTTAATATGTGTTTACATTTAATATATGTACTTCAAAAAATTGCTGGAAGAGGTTTTAAAAATACAAGTTTCTTTTTTTTTAAATTAATTAAAATTTAACAAGAGTTAAAATAGCTTACTAATTGTAGTTATACTAGATAAGACACTTCAATCATTACTATAGAAAAAAGAAAATAAATACTTCTTTGCCTGAGTTTAGGATGAAGGGTATCTGCACCCCTTCAGCCTAATTAAAATAATTAAAAGATTAATAATCAATAATAAAAAAAAGACTAATTACCCAAGTAATCAAAAAGGCTAAGAACATGACTAAGTTATAAAACCCATTAGCCTAATATCTTATCTATCAAAAAGAAAATAAAAAATACAAAAAAAAGATTGACTTCTAAACATTTAATAATATTTATTATTCTAGACCAAAAGTTAACTTTATTATCAGAGTGTCTTTGCAGTATCTTTTTTTCATGTCACAGCAAAAAAGAATTTAAAATATTTCACTAAAACGCTATAATAAAGAATAAAGAGAAATAGTACAGAAGACACGAATGTATCTATAACTGAAACAATAGTATTATAAGATTTATATTCTTATTAGAAGATATAATTTTGTAAAAAAAAATGAAAAAGATACGAAGGCTTGCATATCATGTCCACGTCCTCTTTGTTTTCAATGGAAAGACCACATCCTTACACTTCCCTTGCAAAAATTTGCATACACAATAGTTTTTTCATCTATTTTTTTAGTAGTTAGTATTTATTAAAAATTATATAAGTTTCATTTTTTATTCTCAATTTAATAAATTTGTCATAATTTTTTTAATAAATTTTAACTAATAAAAAAAGTATTAAAATAAATGTCTTTGGCATAATCTTATTTCATTAAAAAAAATGGTGTAAAGATACGTAAACCCGTTGGAATGAATATGATATTGCGTAGAGCATATAATATAATGTAGATTATGGTACGCTATGCAGAGCGCACAAAGTTCCCTTTGGAGAGAAAAGGGTTAAAAAATGACTGGCTAAGTTGTTATCTACATGTCATTCTTTGTCTCTTCATTTGATATTTTAATAGCAATCCCTACAAACCACACAACTCTTTTGTGATAAATGTTGTTGCCCTTTCAGATCATGTTGGGACGATCATCGCATATTTTCAGTTCCCCTCTTACGGGATAACTCTTTTTTATTTCTCATTCTGCATCATTTCATTTCACCAAAAATTCGAATGGTGCTAAGACAATAATAATAATAATATATTAAAGAAAAGAAGGGGGCAATAAGTGATAAAAATGTTGTTGCTTCCGTGAATTTGCACGATTCTTAGACCGCCCATAGAAGTTTTCGTTACAATTTTGGTTTGAACAATCTTTTACCAACTTTTTCTCAAAACAAAAAGGTGAAAAAGAAAAAGGGTGTCACCAATAACTTGTTATTAGCAAAAGTGAAAGTTTGATGATCATGTACAAGTTCACTGATTCTAAACATTGTTATGATGTTAAGTTAGTAATCACCACGGCAGAGTTATAATGCATGTAATGTTACTTTTTATACAATGTTCTAAATGATAATGTAGTTCATTGATTCTAATATTAATTTTATACTTAAATCATAACGAAATCATTTCCTTAGCTAGGTTATTTCCACTGGCCCCTTTTTTATTGCAAGTTTACCTTTGCCTACCACTTTAAATGAACCCTTCTTTCTTAACTTGGGAATCCAAATCTACTTTGGCACTCTTTTTGGTTCTAGTAATCTCTGTTCGAGTCGAACAACTCAAGTAGGCCCAACATTCCCCAATTAACAATTCAAACTTTTTTCTTTGCCCATTTTCTTTTCACTTGTTCTCTTTGTTGCTTAATTTTTCCTAGTGACAAGATGGCAGATCCAATCCCACTTTATTTTTTCTCCCCAAGTCAACAATTAGGCAATATACACACCAGAAGTATAGTATTGCAGTTCATATTTAAAAAATGTTAATAGATAATAATTTAAATAAAACATTTTTTTATCAAAAACTATAATAGTACATTATTTTTTTAATTTTTAATATATTTCAGTGTAATTTATAATAAAAATTCAATCCATATAACAAATCTACAATAAGACTTGATTGTTGCTTGCAGTTAATAAAATACATCATGTTACTTTAGTTAAAAGTGTAAATTATTTAGTCTCTGCTTCCCTAATCAAATTGCTAATTTTATATAGCCCTTGTAGCTAGGCCGGATGAGATCTACAAAATAAAAAACAGGGACAACTCTTTCAAACAGTCAAATCCCAACCTAAAAACACGAACTTTTACATATTCTCTTATTAAATTTTTAATATTTTTTAAAATTTTATACAATAAATATTAAATAAAAAATACATACATTTTTTTTATCTCAAAAGTATAACAAGTGTTTAAATTTTTCTTTATCTAATAACTAAAAGAAATGTTAAACATAAAATATAGAAAGGTTTAAAGTGATTTAAACAAGCCTACCAAATCATTCCTTAATCAATTCCCATAATCAATCAGACCCACAATATTGTGTTAGCCACATGGGAGTGAGCATAGAAATCTGACTAAGGAAATTTGACATTGTGAGATGAACTAAGGTTCGAGCTTAGCTCAACCTGCACTATCTCTATTCTAGGTACCCAAAAAAGAAGCTTTAAAATTTCCATGGAAAATTCGAAACACCCACTTTAACCAAGAGGTAAGATTCTCAGCTCTCAAATGGAAAGGTGACCCATCTTGAGTCTAGAATCTGTCTTTACTCTTCCTAAAATTTTGGGATCTGGCCACGTTCTTTGTGTCTATTATTATTGTTCCTAAAATATTTATTTGCAAGGAATGAACCATACGTGCATCGGAAAAGGCACAGACAATGAATGAAGCATAAGGGGCAACCATTGTACTTGTGAGGGACACCTTCAGTTGGTGTGATTGTATGGTACAATGACATCATCAAATGCGTATGTTATGTCTAATTAATAAGAACAAAACTGTGTAAAAAAAAAGCCGAATCGATATGCAATTGATAAAATGGGATATGGATTGGATTATGTGCTTAAGAAAAGAAGACATAAAAGAAATAATTTCAAAAGAATGGATAAGTTTAAATAATTGTACACAATTAGGTCTTGGTGTGAATGATGTGTGTAAAGCTACAATGATGGTGGTGGGTACATTTGGAATGATTGGTCGACACATAAGTGATTTTCCTTTTCATATTCCCCGTTTGTGTTGATTTGAATAATTAATAATGGAAATGATACGTCAAGCAAACACCCCATTGGTTTTTCCTATTCATGGTTTTATTCCCAATTGCAATCCAAAGTGGGTTATCACTAAGAATGGTTATGGGGTCCTTCCAGCTATACAAGAATTTAGATTCCCAAATAGTAACCCAAGTTGTGAACGTTTTTGGCAAATAGGGAACAAAGTAAGGGGCATGAAAATTATATGTTAAACAAAAAAGAAAAATGAAAAATGAAAGAGGAAAGAGGAAAACCCACTTTCATAATTTTTTCAAGACACTTACAAATGGAGGCATAATCAAATGTTTTGCATGCTGGAAATTATGGGAGGAGAACCGGTTTTATGGCTGCTTCTATGATGTCTTCCTCTTGCGTCAGTGAATCTTTCTTTAATTTTATCACTGACATCAGGCAACTTTGTTTTGTAATTCAAGACTTATGAAGAAAGAAACAAATTATAATTAAAATCTCAAACTAGCTCTTCCATTCTATACCCAAACTTTAATTGTTACCTTAATTTCTTGCAAATAAATCATAATTTTATATTTGTCTAAAAAATCTGTTTTTGTTTTAAAAGATATTTCCCTAAATGGTTATTACAGATTTACAATCCCATCTTATCCCTTCTTTTTTTATGGAAATCCTTTGGAGCCATCCCTTAAGATAGTCTACTTACAAATAATTATTTATTGATTTGATACCATATATTTGACATTTTATTTTGTTAAAAATTAAACTTTATTTAGCTGAAAAAACTATTATATCAATTACTAAGAATTTATTTCAACTTAAATTAAGATCTTTCGTATAACATATTCTTATGTCATAATATGAAAGTATGAGTATGAGATTACCAATAAAAAAATATAATTAATTAGTCAGTGCATTTTTCTTCTTTCAAAATAATTTTCAATTTTTGTGGGTTATTTTTCTCAATTTTTTCCCTATTCTTTGGATTCGAGTAGTTAAATATTTTTTACATAAAAGGAATTGAGAAAAAAAAAGTTATATAATAAAAAATGACAGGATAAAAATAAAGTATGAAAAAAAAAAAAACTAATAGTGGGTACTTCTGTTGACAATTGGAGGGTCACTTCTGAAGTAAAATTAGTGTTTATCGATCCTATTCCCACTTTATTTCCCCTCCCTCGTGCGTTGTAACAAAGCAATATGTTGTGGTATGTGGAATCACAAAAGAGTAACATGAGTTGAAATGGACCCCGTAACGTTAATGGGCTCAGAATATTCATCATCATTATTATTATTATTATTATAACTTTAATATAACATTTTTAAATTACATATTTATTCTATTAAAAAAATTAAATTTACTAACTTACATGCAAGTCTTTTTTTTTTAACCCACATGTAAGTTTAACCATAGAGACAAGTTTTTAGACTTTTTTAAAAGGCCTTATTAAATTTGTAAGTTAAGTTAGGAGGGAAATTCTTTCAAAGTTCTTCTAAATAATTTATATGTATCATTTTATAAATTATCATAGTTAGATATTACCTTTCTTAATATTTTTTTTTCACAAAAATTTTTATAGAAAATGTCACATAAAAATCCCACATACCTGCAAAGCCAAAACACTTTTTGTACCCTTATAGATTCGATGATAGATCAAAGATGGTACATACAATCTGGGCAGGTGTCAGTTTCTCAAGCATTATTTTTTTTTAAATATCGTTTTTATTTAATCTTTATTTTTTAGAATTGCGTAATTATTACTTTATGAATTAAACAAAAAACCTAATGAAGGTATTATATTAAATAAGAATAAAAAATTAAAAATCGTAACATTTTGAGAAATAAAAAATCATTTAACTAATATTTAATCAATAAAATGGTGTTTTAGATTTGATGAGTAACGGGTTTATTTTTCGTTTGAAACTTCCACGTTAATGATTTCTTTAACAGGGAAAAAAGTTTAAAAAAAACTAAATTCATAAATGAGTAATTAATAATTTTAAAAAATTACAAAATAATTATGTATTTAATTTACCATCTAACATATAAATCAACTAATAAAAGTTATTCTAATTTATCTTTGTAATATCAAATGATGCAACTTGCAAAGTTGCAATAATATCTGTTAAAGGCTGAGAAGTTTCGTTATCACCATTGACGAGTTTTTCTTTATAAGGAAGGTTTTGAATGTATTACTTGTTTCATTGTTACCTTAATTCAATTATCATTCACTATTAACGTGTCATATCAATTATATAATAGTTCTATTTATTTTAAACATTTAGTTTTAGTAGTAACCATTATTTGTGTATGATTAATTAAAAACAATAGTGACCACGTTACACAAGTTTGAATGACATGTGACGTGATATCATTATCTCTCACTAACAAGTATAGATAATATATAATCTCTCGTTTCATTAATTCATGATATGTAAAATTCAGACTACAGATCAACAACTAATAACAATTCTATGAGTTATAATAATTAATTAGACTATCTCATGATTCAAAGCATGATCATGTTTAAAAGTTAAAGGACTCTTAAATGACTCATACGGTTTTAAAAACATATTAAAAACAAGGACAACGATTGAAAGAGAAACCATTAATCTTATGTGAATATGTTTATATTGTTGATAGAAAACCTAAAATAAGAAAAACCCAGTAAAATTAAAAACCAATAATGTGTGTTTATTTAAGTGAATAACATAATTATCTTTAATAGTCATAGTGCCATGTTTATCCATTACTAATCAATAACACAAGGCACTTAAAATGTAATTGTGACCAAAGGGTAATGAAAACTCTAATCAAATACGAAATACTAAATAAATAATTCTTTAAAAATTACTCAAGACAAGAAAATCCCTAAACTAAGGAAAATTACGAAATTATCAATTAACAAAAAGTTAACAATAATCATGTTTATCTCCTATTAATCAACCGTCCCGTTTCTAATTGTAAAAGCTTTTTCTTACCTTGTTTAGTTACAAATGAAGTAAGAACTTTGGTGGGTAGGAAAATATTAAATTAAAGAGCAGATAAAGTAATTGTCTTATATTCTGACAAAAAGCAATTTTCAGATAAATAATGACATTTAACCTAACGTTCTTCATCAAACAAAAGCAGAGTTTTTAACCACATTTTTGAGTGGCGCGTGAGTCTGCATATTATGGATAATGAAATGAAATGCTACATTTTATGGATGGATGACAGAATACGACTTTGGCCTCTGATTTTTTCTTTCAAGTTTAATAATCTATAATTATTTTCGGTAACTTCTCCCTTCTAAATCAAGAAGATATTTTATATGTTTCTGTACGCATAATAATTATTTCTATTAATTTTATATTAATAAGTAATAAAAAATTAAAAAAATATAGAATGTTATCTCAAAATTATGGATACCTCAACAAACAATTTGTTTTCTCTCTTTTTACGTGAAAATGAAAAAATAATGAGCCCAAAAGGTTGAACAATAGTCTAAGCCCAAAAGTTTATGTTACTCGGTCCATATCAACTAATACAAAGAATAATAGAAAAAAATAAAAAGCTAAAAGGAGGAATAATTCTTTTCTTCTTTCCTTGGAAGTGAATATTATTATTACTACAAAATTACCAAAAGATATAGTTTTGTTGGGATTTCCTGTAAGAACTCGTGGACTCAGTACTCTCTCCTTGCTTTGTATAGTGTCTAATAGTGTTATTTGAAATAGTTTTTTTTTTTTAATTTAAATTCTAATTGATACAGTTATCTGCAATGACTTTGATGTTAATTTAATTTAAATATTCATGATTGAGAGTTTTGGAGGAAATTTGATCTGCTTATATTAGGAAGGTAAACTCATACAATATTGTATCATGTTGAAATAGATAGGCCACATATCATGTTTAAATCAAATTAATTATAATAAAAAAATTTCTTACTATCTTTAAAATTATTTTCGTTCTAATTTAAATAATTTTTATAAGAAATTTTTTTATTTCTTTTCCTTCTTCTTTATTAATCAAAGTAATAATTAAAAAATCGTAAATATTATTTAATAAAAATATTAATAAATATATTAGAGTGAGTATATATATTCTCATATTTGTGAATATTTATGTAGCATATGAAATAATAGTTGATAGTTTAATCAATACTTAGACTTTTTTAATTAATATAAAATTTGACAGATATTCACCATCATTAAAAATAAATTTTTATAAGTTAAACTGATTTCAATAATTTTAAAAATTAAAAAATTTGTATGTATGTAGTTTTTTTTTGTTTTTTATTTTTATTAAAATAAATCTGAAAATTACATTTTATTTCTCATAGTTTCACATATTTCCAACTTAATTAAACTTTTTTTTATCAGTAAATTCTTTTGAACATTGGGTTAAGGTTAAACAAATCAAATACTCTTTATCTATTTCAATTCTAAAAAAATTCACCGGTTTCACTGTTAGTTTTGGAAATTCACCGGTTTCACGGTTCTCTTCTCACAAGTCACAACTTCTCCTCTGCTGCGATAACGAAAACTTGAAATTCAATTCGCACTTCGCAGGTCGAGAGAGAGAGAGAAGGATCAGTGAGATTCTTCTTCTGCTTCTTTTTCTCTCACGAATTTGAATAATCTAAGCGATGGTGAATTCAAATTCGTGATTTCCCAAAACTTGATTCACCCACTTTTCTATACCTCTGAATTTGAATGGCTGATCACTCTGACACTTCTCCTCTGGTTCCTCCCCTTCCCCTCTCTGACCCTTCCGAGATCGACCTCGAAGCTGGTCCCTCCGAACAAATCCAGTGCCGGATTTGTCTCGAAACTGATGGTAATTTCAACTTTTAATCTTTTTTTTTTCTATTTCGTTTTCATGTTAGGGCAAGTTGCACTTCGATAATTGGCGATGAGAATAATCTGTTTCTAATTGATTTTGAATTTTACTCGTTCGGTTTTGTTTGCCGATTTATGAAGTTCTCAAAAACTTGATTGTGGAGCTGAGAAGCACGTCAGTCGCCAAGCTGTGTTGATTTTGGTTTCGATTATATGGAGAAAGTAAATGAATTATTATATTTGAACAATTCAATAGTATATGGATCATTTCATTGGAATTTGAACTTTTTTTTTTTGGTAATCATGTGTGTAGTGACAGATAGAACTGTTATTATTCCATGTTTAGGATATAGCCAGTATATTGAGAATGGATGCAACTATTTGTTAACTTCATTATTGAATGTTGAGCCTCCATATTTGGGTGTATCACCGTATATCTTATCGGTTACCATCCATTTTTTTTAAACTCAGGCAGAGATTTCATTGCCCCTTGTAAGTGCAAAGGTACATCAAAATATGTACATCGAGAATGTTTGGATCATTGGCGAGCAGTTAAGGTAATGATTCGTGATTTCGGACATGGCATAACAACTTTATAACATTCGTGATTGGTAGTAAAGGTGGTAAGGCGCAACTGTATATGTAAAACTGATGGAAGGCTATTTTTGGTGGTTGAAAAACTTTTTGTTCTGCCAATTAATCAAACAATTATCTATGTTGTGTTCTTTATGTGTTTATCTCATAATATTTTCTAATCTGTGCCTATTAGCCTTTAGTTGACATGGTAGAATTTCACACCATTATATAGGATTTCTGTTGATTCTTACAAACCCTTCTGTTATTTCTCTATCTCCTGGCTACCCGTTGGCCATTGCTCATTTTAGTAATAAAAAGGTTTTACATCTTTGCCCCATTTTATTTTAGGTAATTTGTTTTTGCAATTTTGATTTACTCTCCATGGCTTCCAACATGCTTTCCTTGCTAATGGATCTTCTGCCATTGACATAATTAGGTTTATTAGCAATCTGTAGTCTGCCATTCTATTCTTGCCTTTCCTTAATGATTATACAATGCTCACTGTAACCAATTAGTTATCTTTAAAATGAGTTTTTGTTCTTTATCTAATTATGAAAAGAACTGTAGACCATGAGCTAATATTTCTTTGAAAATCAGAATCCGTTAATGTGCATGATGCATTGTGGGGAGCAAACCTACATAGTGAATAACCACTGTTGGAAAAACACCTGGATATTCTGTATTATATACAAGCATCTGGACAATAATCTGTATTTTTATAATGTGCAGCCACCTAAACCTTAGTCTTTAAAGTGTGCCCCAATTTAGAGTGGCAGGATACTTATTCCTGTGCTTTGCTGCTGACAGTTCCATGTGTAAAACGGTGTACTTTGGAGTGCTTGACCTAATAAATATGTGGATATTTACTTTTTTTGCAGGAAGGGTTTGCATTTGCTCACTGTACTACATGCAAGGCTCCTTATCATTTGCGTGTTCATGTTGCAGCTGATAGGAAATGGCGTACTTTGAAATTTCGGTTTTTTGTCACCAGAGACATTTTGTTTATTTTTCTAGCTGTCCAGCTTGTAGGTGAATTGTTTCCATTCATCTAGCCATCTAGATACATATTTAATGAATGCATATTGATCAACTGATTCAGCCGCTATTACCTTTGTATGCAGGTCATTGCCTCACTCGCGTATTTGGTATATCTAATAGATGGTTACCAGCAGTATTGGCTTCGTCTTCTCTGGGGTTTTGACAGTGAACTGAGCTTTTACTACATATGTGGTAAATTGCAATTAACTTAAACTGTGTCATCAAAATGCTTATGCAACATTATTTTCTGTAAATTATTTTTTACCTCCTTCCCTTGAATTCAAAGTTTCTTTGTTCCACATTTAAAAATAAATAAATATTGGTTTCAGAGTGTTGATTTTGCATTGGTATTTTCTAATGCAGGAGCTCTATTGTTTTTTGCGTTGCTTGGCCTTTCTGGGTGCTTCATTACTTGTTATGATCGAAGAGTTCGCAATGATTTAGCTCAGCCATGTAGAGAATTATGTCTTTGTTGCTGTCAACCTGGGTAAAAACCCTGATTTTACATGTTCACAAGCCTTTGACATTGTTAAAAAAATTAATGATACTCTTAGCTTATGCATGAGGGATTGTCATAATGGTTGTTTTCTTGCTTAATTATAGGATGCCAGAAAACTATGCTTGGACTTGATGCATAAGATTTATTTACACTGTATAGGAGACCCTTCTTTTAACAAACTTTTTACAATGATATATAAAATTCAGCTGTTAAATTATTCATGCTTGCATATGCTGGATAGAGAAAGAAGGTTGTTTCATGTTATATATGAAGTAGGTTATATTAGCAGCAAGTCTGTGATTCAGAATGGCAGCCAATAGTGACTGAGGTTGACTTTTTGTTTTATATGCTGTTGTTGCAGAGTTTGTGCAGACTGTCATTTGCCAGGCACTCTTTGTATGTGGACTGATTGCACCACATGCTTTGAGAGTTGTGGAACCATGGCAACTGAATGTGGTGGTTGTTTGGGGGGTGCTGGGGAAGCAGGGTTACCATTATTATTCATTATGGCTTTGATTGTTCTGGGACTTTTTACTGTAATTGGGATATTCTACAGTGTGTTGGTGGCTACTATGGTTGGTCAACGGATATGGCAACGTCATTATCACATACTTGCAAAAAGGATGTTAACAAAGGTGCGATTGGTTTACTTTCTCATCTTTTATGAATTTGGTGCATTACTAAAAGCTGTCAATTTTTCTGTTGCAATTCAGCTGACACAAGTCGAGCTAAATTCCTAACTGATATACACATTAGGCCATTTGGCATTTAGCCATCTCTTGGTTTAATTTCTAGCAGTTAAGTCCTATGTATTATCTTCACAAAAACATTTAATAGGGAAGGAAAAGCCAAGAATCTCAACCATAGATTTTTCTGCTTTTGTAATTGACTTATTTTCAGATTCTCTTGCATCAGGCCCATGTTGATTGAGGATGTTTCTGATGGCTTTGTGGAAAGTAAATGTATTTTTGATATACCTGTTTTTGATGGACTAGGATCTTTTAGTCTAATGAATGATTGACAGAAAACGGGAATTGGAATTTGGAATATGGAGAGTACTGCCAAACTCTCATAATATGCTTCCTTACTGCTGATATGATATCAGTATATAAATGAGGATGTTTAATTTTGTATAAAAAATCCCTTTGACAACAAAAAATAAAGAATAGATATGGCAGACTCTTTTTGGTCAGCTCACAAACAGTTTGAGATTAGTTACCCTTCATAGTTCATACTTATAATGCCATGTGTTAACTGCATGTTTTATGCAACCATGATGATTCCCTGAAATATGATGACATCATCTTGAATTGTGAAACTGTTATTACTTATCGTCATAGGAGTATGTGGTTGAAGACGTAGATGGAGAGCTGACAGGGTCTGATTGGTCTCCCCCATCTCTCCCACCTGAGCATGTTCAGCAATTGAAAACATTGGGCCTCCTATAAGTTTGAAGGAGTTATCAGTAATCTACTTAATGACAAGAATAACAATTGAGATTGAATGGCCCTCCCTGTGTTTCGGTAAGCTGGTCCTTTTCTTGAAGACCTGCACTTAATTGATAATATTGTAATAGCCGCTCAATTCAGTTTGGCTAGAGTTGTACACTTGTGCTGAACCGCTGATATGTGGAAATTTGTGAATTTCTGACCCATCTACTTATGTAAAGAAAATGGAAGAAGATTCTTTTAATACCCAATAACAGGTTACATACACGTATATCGCCATTTCATTCCTTGGTACGATGCTGCCTGTATAGTCATGTTTTATTATTATCTTTTTCGTTGCTTGTCGGATTTATTTGAAATTTTGATTGGATGCTTTACTAATCAAAGAATTTTAATGGTAGAATTCCATTCATATAGTGGTCCATGATACAAGCTACATATTTGGTGTAAGGTAAAAGCATGTGTTGTCCTACGTGTTTCCACTAGGTCTTAGTTTGGTTCTTTAATTTATTTTTCAATTTCAACATTGTCTTTTTTCGTAAATCTGCCATCTCACTTAGCGGAAGTGCTTCTACGTGGCATTAACGCCGATAACTGAGTCGCAGTTGATAATTAAGAAATGGACGGATTTGAGAGGTAAGAAAGGAGGCTAATTCCCTTCTTTCTTTTAATGTTCAATTTTTAACAAAAAGTCCTCTCAAATTAGAAAAATTTAAATAATTGCTTAACCCTAATCAAATCATTTCTTGTAGGCCGTTGATTCTTTTGGTATTTAATATTAAATAAGTTTCTACTACTTTTTCTAAAAAATGACGTGTACTAAATTTATCGTTAGTTGTTAAAATTTTTATTAATTTTTTTAGCTTGTTCATTATTGGGTAGATCGAACACCTTAACTTGTGGATTAACTTTATTGCTCTCAGGTTAGAAAGTTTTTAGATTGTAATAAAATTAATGTGATGAATATGAACATATTTTGAGTGAGTTGCTTTATATTTTGTTCAAGATTTGCCAAAAGGTTTTTGTTTAAATGTGTTTTCTTCAAATAATAATGATAAATAATAACAGCGAGAATAATTTCACAAGCTAATGCTTTAAAATGTTGTTGTCGTTGTAACTCTTTTTTGGTTGAGTCAAAATCTTATTATGAATTGAATTAATTTTTAGCTAAAAAGTTATCTAATATAATCATATAAAAATGTATTGTTGTTCAGTTTAAATTGGTTGAAATAAAATTTTAAATTGAATCTGATTTAATTAAAAGTGATTTGGATTAGATTGTGGATAATACATTTTTTTAAATTTTTTCAATTTAAAAAGATAATAAATTAATTATTTTATTTATTTTATGTTATTTTCAATTAAAATTTATTTTTTAAACAAAACATAAAAAAGAGATTTGAAAGATAAGAACAACTTTAAATTAATATAATATACTTATAACAGAGAGAGAGAGAGAGAGAGATAAGCTTGTATGCATTATATTAAACGTGTGTTTGAATCTGCGTTTGAATTTTTCTATTGATGCAGAAGCTACTTGTTGTAGCATGAAGTGAACGCACGTTTTCTGTATGTTCATCGTGATTCCAACCATAGGCTAAATCGATTTCTAAAACTGAATAAAAAATTTGGTCCAATATAATAAGAAAAAGAGTTTGTCTGATTTACTTTTTTCCATTTAGATTCATGAAATTGGTTTATGAATACCCCAATCCAACTTTTTATTTCGATTGTAGTTTTGGGAATATGATAATGTTGCATACATCTTATATAACCACCGACCCACAATGACACGTAATTATTTATCATATTATTTAGACAAAATACCTGTGAACATGAAGATATTATTATTAGGCAAATGCTAATCACCACTCAATGTTCTGTCCTTACCACTATAAATTAAAGGCTAGAAGCGAAAAGGACACACTGAACTGCACATTTTTAATGTTTAAAATGAAGCAGAAAAAGGACAGGCTCAGGCTTTGACATGTGCATGTTGGACATTGTCTCCATACTATGGATAGAGTGAGATACCATTACATGTATATTTCATCATTTTCAGCATTCAATGAATGAATAGCCTTAATCAATATCAAACACACAAATGAAATGTTTTGCAAATCATTCTAAAATTTTATTAGAATTATCTTTGTCTAATAAATAGTTATTTCAAATGCAGAATTTTAGTCAAGTCTTTTTTAACAATTCTAATTTTAAGAATCACTGATTTATTGACATTATAATTTATTTGATATTACAATTCAATTCTAATGTAGCTATTTTTTCCAATTTATTATTTTTAAATAACTTCAATAAAATTGTGATAAACACCTATTCGTATATAGCAAAACCTGAAATTATCAAAATTTATCCTGTTAATTTTTTTTTATCAACATATATAACCTTGTACTATTACCATCCTAGCACAATGGTTTTGTGGAAGAAACACGGGTCCTCGATATTAATTTCCTCTGAAAGTCATGGGAATTTAGAAAGAAGAGACACGCATATGATATTATGATCCACCCCACTCAAAAACTAAATCATTGAATTTAATAATCCAAACCATACCCACGGGAAGCACCGAAGCATTTTCTGATCCAAGCTTTGAGCCTTATCCGAAAGTGTAGAGTGGCCCACTTCTCTTACACGGTTCCTCTCTATAAATAGCATTTATTTTGAACACGGTCTTTAACTATCAAGAGCAACACTTTACCACATACAATATTATTTCATATTTTGTATGATATATAGTGAGAGAATCAAATCAACCATGTCTGATATTGCTATTTTGGTAGCGGAAGAATATGAGAGAAGGGCAAAAAATTTTAACAAGGGAAGCGTTGTAGGAGGGGGAGAAGTCAACATCGTTTCTCGTGCTTCCTTGTTGGTACTCACTAGAAGGATCAAAGAGAAGGTTGGGGTGGAGAAGAAGGAGCTTGTGAAGTGGGTTTTGGAACCCAAAACCCAATTTGCTATTGCTGCTTCTCATAGTTTCTTTTCTGCTTGAAGAATGGTTATTTCTCCTGTTTCTCCTCATTGTTAATTTCCTTTTTTAATCTATGTTTCTCTGTGTTGGTGTACATAAATATATTTTGAATTAAAGGGAAATTGTGTTATCAGAAAGTTCCTCACTTTCTCCACTAATGCCCCTTCTATATTTTGACATTCGATCACTCATATAAGTACCTTCGGAATTTACATGAAATGAGACTATTTAAGTTTCTCGTGGGTGCAAAGAAATTCCTCTAGGAGGGATAATTTTTTTACATAAAATTGTAGATTAAATTCTGTAGAGAGTATAATTGTAAGTATATGATAGACATAATTCCGTTTGAATTAAAATATTTGTATGAGATGATTTGAAATTGGAGTCTCAATTTGGAACTTGGGGAAGGAAAGACCAGATATTGAGAAGCCTAATCTATTCTTATTTTGGGTTAAGGTACTAGAAAGATGTTGATAGAGTTTTTCATATTTTATTTGCTGGGCCTTGAATTGTAAGGCACAATTTATATGGCCGGGACACTTCTTCAATAGTATTGATTCTATGTATTATTGATTTTTTAATTATAAAAATAAGTATTTAAGTCAATGATTAACAAGACAATAGGCATTATGTAGAAAAAAAATTTCTTCTACCTAAGTGTGGTTACTGAAAATTTCATTAACTATATCTAGGGCCTCATCGGGCCTATAAGATTGAAGCCCAATACCTTGTGGTCCAAGCTATACTTACGAGTGAGACCCAACTTAGTTGGTCAGCCCGTTCAAGATATACTCACTGACGCAAAAAGAGAATCTTTGAAACACGTGGCATAACATGGTTGGCTGAACGACTAAGAACCTGTTTGGTTGGACACTTGAACCGGTTTTTCAAATGAAAATTAAGCTGTATTTGTATACAACGATTATCAAACGGTAATTAAAATTTAAATAATTGTATAACTTATCATACATGTACACTGTACATACATATATTTGAGAAGTTAAACGAAGCTATCTCTTTCAAATAAATAATATTAATAAATAAATCATTTTCACCAACAATTTGAAGGGAAAAAATCTGCTATATTTGGAAAACCATATCATATGCACTTGCTAAATTAATGACTAAGAAATATTCTTACTCACAGTTGCAATTCTTACTAATTGCTTTGATTATTCTTCTGCTAATTGGCCGACCAATATAATTAATAGAAATTAGAAAATTAATAGCATTTGACAAAATATAAAATATGAAGAGTAACAGATTCCACTTTCCTCTTGGCGAAAGTGATGAGTAACCTATTGCAAGCTATTTTCAATGGATTTTACATAAATTCCTGTTGGTTGGTTACCCAACCGTCCAAGCAATGTGGTGAAATGAAAAATTGATTACAATTTTTTTATACAACAAAGAGAAAAATAAGGAGAAATATGTAATAAGATAAAGAGGAGATAAAGAGAAATACATAATAAGATAGTTAATATTGATGAAGGGAGATAGAGAAAAATAATAATATTGTATAAAATGAATGCAAGAGGTTTAAGCATTTGTTATTCAACAGAGTTTGATGGATCCCTTTTTGTCCTGTGATATTGAATTAGTTTATATTGGCATTCAATAATGCAACTAATACCACAACCTAATTGTCACTATATCCTATTGTAAGTCAAGATAAGTCTGTTAAGTTCAGATCCATGAAATTTAGGTCTTTCCTGTGAGATGTAAGTCAATTAAGTTGGTGGAAAGAATTAAGAAAGCCAACCACACACTACCAAAAAGATACCATATATATATATATATATATATATAGTACAATTTGACATTGATATAAAGTACAAACATTGTATATGTATATACACGTGTGTGTTAATCAAGTGTTATAATGAATTTTATATTTACATAAACTTATACACCTCATATTTGTTTTTCTGTGTTTTCAACTTTTTGTTAGCTGAAATGATTTTTTTTTCACCCAAAGTTTCATTACATGTGCTTTAGAAATTGATAATTTGTCTTTTAAGACTCGACTTTTCATTACACAAAAAAGGCCTAACATCTATATTTAATACTGTGATTTTTATTAGACAAATATTATATTAACAAAAATATTTTTTATGTTTGATTTTTTTGTCCATTATTAAATGATAATTTTTCTATAACGATAATGCGTTTGTAGAAAGAAAAGAAATAAAAATATATATATATTTTTATTACATCTTCATCTTATTCACTTTTATAAATTAGAGTTATTATTATATGTTTAAAGAAATCTTTAATTTTATTGTTATTATTATTTACCTTGCAACACGTGACTTTTTTATTATTATTATTTAGCACTTATTTATACAAATTTTAAATTATTAAACATTTTTTATTTTTATGTTAATTTTTATTAAATATCAAAATTTTAATTAATTACTTAAAATATTTTTATATTAAAATTTCTTTTCTTATATCAAATATTATAAGCTACTTGTCACACATATTTACCTTATAATTTAGATTTTTAATCATACACGATTGCATGTGAAGATATTTTCTTGTTTAACATTGAAACAAATTTGTTTTCTTTTAATCCAAAAAATTGCTTCTGTACATCAACCCATAAACTTCTTCACCTACCAGTTTATCCCAGCACTAAGAGGGTGTTTCTAGAATATGAATATCAACCAACCCCACTAACATTTGACCAGCCAACCCTGCTAATGGGTGGACGTTTCTCACCAAAATATCCACTTTGAGAGATACAATTCATACGAAATTCAAGATCAGTCAATCCTAAACCGTCCAAAATTTGCCAAGAACTTGAAGCGTAATCAAATAATGAAGATGGAGTAATGTAAATGTAACACAAAAGTGAAAAGGTAAGAAAGTTAGCTCTTTAAATATTTATGTATATAAAACATGATCTACATCAATTAATACTTTTGTGATCTAGGGATGCCAAAAGAGGAACAATCATTAATTAGCTCCCCTTTTACAAATAAAAGAGAGAGCTAGAAATTAAAATTAGTGGTTTAAGCTGCATATATATGTTGAAGACAAGTTTGGATTCAGAGATATCTATGCAAAGTGTTATTACTGCGAAATGCTGACAAAAGAAAAGGAAGGTGGTGGTGATTGCTCCCATTAGAACCTGCCTCTTCCTGATTTCGATGCTGACGATGTTTGGACACAACATCATGTGGCAACACTGGTTTCCTACAAAGTGGGCATGTAGCCCAATATTCTTGCAACCACTTGTCCAAGCAATCCTTGTGGAATGTGTGTTTGCATTTCAAGCTCCTCACCTTCTCCCCTTCCTTGAATTCGGATAAGCACACACTACACTCTACAACGTTCTCTCCCTTCAATCTTTTGGTGTAGCAAATCGTGGGGTTCTTCTTCTCAATGAATTTGAGGTATTGCCGGGTGGTAATTGGACGTGACCTTAGCTTCTGAATGAGGATGAAGAGTTCTATTAGCAAGTATGCTAATAGGAGTATAGCTTTCCCACAAAGCTTGTTGAAGAGCTTAGAGAGAGGTGTCATGGCTAACTCCTACCTCTACTAATTAATGGAGTTTCGAAAATGCAAACTTTACATGTATATATAACATATGATGTATATATGTAGCCGCCTCTTACTTTAATTAATTGCTAGTACAGTTCGTGCTCCTGTTTTTGCCATTTGTATATAAAATGCAACGGCAAATTAGAAAAATATCTTGTGGCTTGACTGCGTAAACAATTGCTCTTTGCGTTAATTTCTATGATTACTTTATCTTCTTTTATTATTAACTTCTGAATTTTCTTAACTACGATTCCTCACGAGGCAAAGTGGGCAGAGCCGGTTAGTTAGTGATTGGATACAATTCTTTCCTAAACGATGGCTTGATTATGACTATTTACTGTTGGGTTCAACATGCATGTTTGAGTATTATTCCTACATTTATAATTAATTAGCACATGCTTATTTATAATTTATTTTAGTTAAATAATAAACAATAATATTTTAAAAATACTCACGACGCTTACCAAGTAAAACGTTATTCTTTTCAACTTTAATTTGTGGATTGAACATCTTGGTCTTCATATATCAGTCGTGAAAAAGAGGGGAAATTACGTTCATATAGGATTATAAAAATGATTGGAATGAGATGGGCGTTTGGGAAACAATTCTTAAAGCAGAATAGTTGTTGAACCAAATCGGAAGGGGCCATGACTGGTCAATTCAAGTCGACGAAATACTTTATTATGGTAAGAATTTAGAACGGCAAGTGTAGTATAAGAGCCCTAAATAACATTTTTGTTCAAGTAGTTTATCAGATACCCCCAACTCTGACTAGAAAAAACAAATACAAAAAAGATGTAGTCTATCTTTGCCTCTCTGCGCAGCCAGAAACACATTGCTTTTTCTTCTATTTTCTATATTTTTATAATATATGTGATGAGGCAGAAAATATATAATACAATTTTAATTTTTTTTTATTAATTTATCAAATTACTATATTAATAATATTAAAAATTATAATTTTTCAATAAAAATCATTTTTTATTAATTTTTATTATGTCTTTTTAACACATTAAAATAATTATTTAAATAAATCAAGAAATAGTGCTGCTTGCATGGAACTTTCCTAACTCGACAATTTGCATCCAGTCTGTGAAAAACTTTTGTCCTTTAAGATTTTATATTCTTTTCTCAAAATAGCATGCGACCTACTTTAGTATGACTATTCTTTAAATTTATTTAAAACATTAAATAAAATTATACAGTAAAAAAATAAACTGCTATAGAGTAAATGGTTCAACCTACTATTTTATCTTTTTATCTTTTATGAGATCATTCTCTCTACTTTCTCTCTCATATCCTTATCTTCTTGTCATTTGTGATTGGGTTAAGAAAGTTATATTTTTGTCAAGTCATAAACTTAAGTTTATTATAAAAGGGTCTGTTAACTCTTTAATGATTATCATATATTTCAAATATATATTTTAAAACAACGTTTAACATATTTTAGATCAATTATTTCGAATCTTTTCTGTGACAGTAGATTAAATTACAATACCAATTTCAATATATACAATATGCCCTATTTAAATTTACTCAATTTATTTACTAAACTTGATTAACCTGGTAAATTGCAAGCACGTAATCAATCCACGACCCCAACAACCCAGCCAATTGTTCCTATATCAGTCAAATATATTTTGCCATTCAAAATTCATTTGATAAATTCAGCAGAAATTTGCAATATATCTAGTTGCATGGGGAAGCGTATCAAATGATTGTTAAAAATAGTAGGAATGTCTCCCTAGATATGTATTATTTTTGTCTCGTTTATCATCCGAAAAGATCAATTAGTGCCTATTCTTTTATTTTTCCATCAAGTATTATTATCAAGTTTATTGTTCCATTATTGCGCTAAGCATCAAATGAAATAAATCAACTAATCATGGGCAAAAATTCACGTACGGCTGTTGCACTTTGCCGTGCAGGCCTTAACAAAGGCACAAACTATGGTTACTTCTGTCCTAATTATTAAACATACATATCAATTCCCTGTTTGGTGAAGGACATGAAATGCCAGGATATAGCTCTCTGTCAATTTATTCTTCAATGATTCAATGGATACGCATATAAGAAAAAATATTTATAGCAGAACTCCTTTATTAATTGAATCATTAATTTTTTTTTTAAAAGAACCATATTAATTAAGTGTATCTTAACTAAAAAAATTTAGAGCCGTATACCGTTTTGATAATGTCTGTTCTTAATTATATAATCCCATGAAATTCTCAAAATTTTGTGGAGGCTTAATTTAATTCGCTCTTCCAATATGTACCAAGAATCTGCCACTAACTCCGTTAATTTTTTTGAGCTAGTTAATGATCGTAACATCTAGCATCTATTTAACTATAAATTCCTCCACTGCTCTAGTTTCTTCAATGAAAAGCTTAAATTGAAAGTGTTTTCTTTGCAGCGAAATATCGACATCTAACTGCCATTATAGTTCCTTTTATTTATATATAAACAACTTGATAACGTCATAATGACAATGCTATTACTGTACTGTACTCGATTTTAGTCTTCAGGTAGACGACATATACACTTACATATATAGTATTATTTACTATCCAATCTCATCATAGCTAAGTTGACCCGAGAGCATGAATAATTGTAGCAGAATTTATTTAATAATCACTGGAGGAAAATTAAAAATTAGGACGATAAGGAATTCTATGCAATAATCAAAGTGTTTAGATTGAAAGATAAGCTCTTGTTCCAACACATAGTTTGGCAATTGCTTGAAGTGTTGGTGGTTTGATTCCATTATGCAACTTATATATGCTTTCATGATAACCTATCTTTCAGTTATTGGCTTAATGCTTTTAAGATAAATTTTAAAATATGGGTCTAAAAGCATAGTTGGTGTTGGGTGTATAATATTAAAAACCAACCTCAAACGCTAATACAAAAGCTGCATTGGCAGTTTCCACGATTAGTGGTCATTAATTAAAGTGTCTGTATCTAGCTACTAATGATAGTAATAAACAAATTAAAGTCTTTCTAAAACGTTTTTCCCTTGTTCTATTTATATATATATCATACTCATGATATTCTGAAACTCTTGCTGTACGAATTATGATGACAAATATACACATTAAACCTGCTTCAAGTGATTACATGAAACATTTCAATCTTAATTAAGGCCTTTGGATTACTATATATTGATTATTTCAGACTTTCAGTAGTAATTAGCAAGCAATATATGTCCAATTGTATAGCCTCCAACTCTCCCACTGATTATATTATCAGCTCATCAAGCTGACTTGTCATCTGTGCGGCAATAGTGGTTAATGTTGCGAGGATACACTAATTTACGAAGCCCACTTATGTCATTTTATATTTAACATCCACTTTCTGTGTGCTCCAATCCACCATGCATATTTTCAATAATATACTAATACAAATTGTTGCAATTGGAATATTTAGAAGGTTTAGAACACATAATTAAGTTGGTGCGCAGACCAAACCTTTAATTTCCATGCAAGACAATGACAACATGGCATTTCTTTTTCTTTTTCCTTTTTTTGGTGTGTGCAATCAAGATAAATACTCATTAATTATGGTTAATTGGTTGTAAAGCAAAGACGCCACAACCACAAGGGCATTAGAGAAATGAACGTGACTGCTTGTTCCACATGCTCTCACATCCAATTCCAACTCCTATAAATTCCGTCTTTGGGAAAGTTGATTTCACAAAGGCATTTATTTCATAGTAGCCCAGTCTAATTATAATAATTAGTCATCTTTGTGCAATTTGTTTGTTGTTTTTGCACACAACATGTCTTCCATTGGGGCTCGTTCAGCTGAAATTTTTGTTATGGAGAAGAGGATGAAGGAGAAGATGAAGAGAAAGGAGGAGGAAAGAGCAAAAGGAAGTGAGGTAAGTGCGGAGCAAGAGACAAAAGTGGCTACTAATAGCGTTGGAAAGAACAAGGTGCATCCAGGAAGTGAACCACGAGTCACATCTGATAATGTTACTAAGGTGTAATATTTTTCTACTTAGTGATAACTCACCAAAACTACGGTTTCTATCAAGTGCCCATCATCACCCTTCTTTTTTATTTTTCTTTTCCTCTTCCTGATTTGTACGATAAAGTTTTAAATGTCTGTTTTACAAGCTATCCTAAGTTCACGATCAAAAGCCTGTTTAGTTATTATATAAGTGATAAAAATTTACTGTTATTAATGGCGTGGGCTTTTAGCAATTTGTGACGTACGTGTCTCAAATGAAACTGTGTTACTGCTTCGTCAAAAGAGCACTTTGTGTCTATAAACAGAATAAAAGCGTCATTTCTGTATATAAATTGCAAATCTCATTTACAATTAGCTTTTTCGGTGTAACAGTACATATCCGTATTTTCTTTTATAGAGCAAAAATTTTGTTAGATTGGAAAGAAGGAATGCCTTTTTTACATGTTGTCTTCCTCTTATGCCCTATCGATATAACATGATGTTTTTGTTTGTCACTATATAAAATTGAACAGGGAATAGGATTTATTCACCTGTCAAAGTAAAATATAGTATTCATTATACAAAAAACAAAAGGCATACATATTAAGGATTAAATATTAGATTTGCTTATGTTGATATAACTTTTTCGAACAAAAATTAAACCGATAGTATGAATATTGTAATATGTATTAACCTATAATACTCACATTTTAAGTAGTTTAAGTTGATACAAAACCATAGAGAAATAGAAGAAATGTCTGTAAATCGTAAGAATTAAGGTGGTGAAAGAAACAAATGACTCGAATATTGTTTTGTGATTAAAAAACTTACCGCTGGAGCATAAGAAAAAGCTTTACCATACACTTATAAGTTGTATGAAATAAAGTGTTAAATTGGTAGAAAGCCAATAAAAGAATAAAATAAATGTAACTGAGATGAGAATGTTGTTGAGATTCATACCCGCAATGGCAAAATACACGAAAGAGTTGTTGAGGTTCAATAATGACATTTCTTTAAAAATGATTCATTT